ATATACGTACATACATACATATATACGTACATACATACATATATACGTACATACATACATATATACATACATTCACACATATATACGTACATACATACATATATACATACATACATACATATATACGTACATACATACATATATACGTACATACATACATTTATACGTGCATACATACATATATACGTACATACATACATATATTATTGTGCTCACAAACGAGAGATATTGATCAATAACAACACTATGACTAGCCAAGGAGTCGAACCCATGCTGCTTTGGCCTGCCTTATGGTGAGTGAAAGACACATGACGCTCTAGTCCACGGGACCACACAATTCTCAAGAATGACGCACCCAGCCAAGCTAGATGTTGTACCCATCATCCGAGAACATACGGTGGTGTGGATGCCTGTGAGCTAATTTCATTCTACTCCCTGTTTGGAACAACACCTAGCTTGGCTGGGTGCATCATTCTTGATAACTGTGTGGTCCCGTGGACTAGAGCTTCATGTGCCTCTCGCGCACCATGAGGCAGGCCAAAGCAGTATGGGTTCGACTCCTTGGCTAGTCACAGTGTTGTCATTGATACATACATATATACACACGTACATACATACGTACATATGAGTACAAATAGTGAAGAGGCGGGGCCAGGAGCTATGAATCGACCCCTGCAACCACAAATAGGTGAATACATACATGCATACATAGATACATGCATACATACATACATATATACATACATATGTACATACATACATATAGACACACGTACATACATACATACATACATACATACATACATACATACATACATTCTAAAAGTCACATTCACAAAAATTTGCATTTGTAACGAGTATAAATATTAAAAATATATAATTTTTAAAACGTTGATATATGGTTACTCTTTGAGAGGTGGACACATGTCACAGCTGGCTCCAAAAAATTACACATACACGTGAAATAAATCATGGTGGCAGGTGTTACTGAAGACCTTTAACACGCGTCCAAGTCGGCTAATATAAGACAGCAGGAGAGCAGGTGTTGCTAGAAGTCATCCCACAGCATCGAGATCAGGAACCAGTGGTCACCATGCGTGTAGTTGTGGTCATCGGTGTTGTGGTTCTGGCTACGCTGCCGCTCTGCAAGGCTGTTAAGGTACACATCTTAATCTCAGCTCATTTGCAAACTTAGAACTGGCATTATACTTCATCTCATTTGTAGGTTAAGAGCTGTTATCCAGTCTCGGTTTATTTACAAGCTAAGAGCTCTTTAGGTTAACCCTTTCAGCTTTCTTTAAAATATCCAGAAGACACAGGTTGCGAAAATATTTTACTCTGGTAGTACAGTGGACCCCCGCATAACGATCACCTCCAAATGCGACCAATTATGTAAGTGTATTTACGTAAGTGCGTTTGTACGTGTATGTTTGGGGGTCTGAAATTGACTAATCTACTTCACAATATTCCTTATGGGAAAAAATTCGGTCAGTACTGGCACCTGAACATACTACTGGAATGTAAAAAGATCGTTAACCGGGGGTCCACTGTACTCTGTTAGAGCTCTTTGAGAGCTCTTCTAACAGAGCTCTAATGGGGCGAAACGTTGTCAGATAAGTAGTTTGCTCTGAAACGTTTCACCTCTTCGGTACTGTCAGAAGTAAGGGAGTTGGATTCTCCAAACGTCTTGTTCACTAATGCTTTAAATCTTGTCTCCTCACGAGAGGTTCCTTGATGCTGATGAGGGGCTCTTGATCTAGGGAATTGAATCTGTGCTCCAGTTCCTAGAATTGAGCCTGAATACCTTCCATCCCCCACCCCACGCGCTGTATAATCCTGCGGGTTTAGCGCTTCCCCACGATAATGATAATTATAATAATTTAAATTTTGTCTTTGTCTCTCCCTAACATTATGCAACTTTCGTGAATAATTCTGATTTTGTAATAAAGTTGGTAGAATTACCGACAATATGTAAAGTAAAAGGACACAAGTGCAACTAATGTGACATTTTATTGTGGCAACGTTTCGCTCTCCAGGAGCTTTATCAAGCCATTGATAAAGCTCCTGGAGCTTTATCAATGGCTTGATAAAGCTCCTGGAGAGCGAAACGTTGCCACAATAAAATGTCACATTAGTTGTATTTGTGTCCTTTTACTTTACAATTCTGATTTTCTTGTTCCGATTTATATTTACATTTTTAAAAATTGTAAACACTGAGAAATAAATATTGTCTTTGGGATGTGTGAGAAATATTTCCTTTGGGATGTGTGAGAAATATTTGCTAAGGGATGTGTGAGAAATATTTGCTAAGGGATGTGTGAGAAATATTTACTTGGGAATGTATGAATGTGCGTTGATGTGAAGCAATGAATAACTGTGTTATAAATTAAAAAAAAATCCTGAATGACTTAGCTTTACAGGAAACTGAATTATCTTAGACTTCGAATACGAAAAAATGAAATAAGTTCAGCCAATAGTATCCGGGAGAAGAGGAAGTGAATGTGAGGTGACTTCTTATGGTAAATATTTCTATAGCACTCTCTTAAGGGTTAAACCCATGTGGATCATTAGAAAGGTACTGAGGCTCGATCCTCCGTGTTTTAACCGCTGGATGGAGACGCTACCAACGTGCGTATGTTATACGAAAACGCAAAACTAGAAACTGGTAATTGCGTGTTAGCCCATCTGTGATTACCTGTTTAGAGCTAAAACAACAGGTGGTGTCAAGTCATCAGTGTTATAGTTACAGCAGCAGAGTTATGTTGGTGGTGTCAAGTCATCAGTGTTGTAGTTACAACAGCAGAGTTATGTTGGTGGTGTCAAGTCATCAGTGTTTGTAGTTACAACAGCAGAGTTATGTTGGTGGTGCCCAGTCTTTAGTGTTTGTAGTTACAACAGCAGAGTTATGTTGGTGGTGTCAAGTCATCAGTGTTGTAGTTACAACAGCAGAGTTATGTTGGTGGTGTCAATTCATCAGTGTTGTAGTTACAACAAGAGAGTTATGTTGGTGGTGTCAAGTCATCAGTGTTTGTAGTTACAACAGCAGAGTTATGTTGGTGGTGTCAAGTCTTCAGTGTTGTAGTTACAACAGCAGAGTTATGTTGGTGGTGTCAAGTCATCAGTGTTTGTAGTTACAACAGTAGAGTTATGTTGGTGGTGTCAAGTCATCAGTGTTGTAGTTACAACAGCAGAGTTATGTTGGTGGTATCAAGTCATCAGTGTTGTAGTTAAACCAGCAGAGTTATGTTGGTAGTGTCAAGTCATCAGTGTTGTAGTTACAACAACAGAGTTATGTTGGTGGTGTCAAGTCATCAGTGTTGTAGTTACAACAACAGAGTTATGTTGGTGGTGTCAAGTCATCAGTGTTGTAGTTACAACAGCAGAGTTATGTTGGTGGTGTCAAGTCATCAGTGTTGTAGTTACAACAAGAGAGTTATGTTGGTGGTGTCAAGTCATCAGTGTTTGTAGTTACAACAGCAGAGTTATGTTGGTGGTGTCAAGTCATCAGTGTTGTAGTTACAACAGCAGAGTTATGTTGATGGTGTCAAGTCAGTGTTTGTAGTTACAACAGCAGCAGTTAGGTGTTTGTAGTCATCAACATCGCTATAATTTTGCCCACAACTGAAGATAAACTGACTGGTCGGTAATTAGAACTTTCCCTATATCCCTTCTAAATCCAAATTTCTCCAACTTGGTTCCACTGCTGTGAGATTTTATGTAGACAAAAACACGACATTGATGAAGCTTTCCTTATGTTATGTGAATAATTTTAACCATTCCAACTTATGGTAGACGTATTTAAAAAAATCGTGAATGTGGCACTTAGGAAGTCTTATCTTAATGACAGGTGTTAGTGTGGAAACACCTGTGGAAAGAGAGAGAGAGAGAGAGAGAGAGAGAGAGAGAGAGAGAGAGAGAGAGAGAGAGAGAGAGAGAGAGAGGAGAGACAGACAGACAGACAGACAGACAGACAGACAGAGAACAGCTCTTAGTTTGTCAATGAAGTTAGAAATCTTTAACTTCTAAATAGCTTGTCAATAAAAATAGGGATCCTTAACGTAATCTTCTCAAAAGCTGTGTAAAAAAAGGAAAGAGAGAGAGAGAGAGAGAGAGAGAGAGGGAGAGAGACAGAATATGAATATATGCAAGTTTATTATTATTATTTAGGGAATTAATAAACTCATCCTTTTAATATATATATATATATATATATATATATATATATATATATATATATATATACTCACTGAAATATCAAATTAATTTTTTCATATTTTTTTCCAGAATGACGAAGCTGAAACACTGAGTGGTATGTATAAATTAGAAATTACATACATACGTACATACATACATACACACATTGTGTCTGCCTTTTGTTTACCACCAATTTAAGGTCCCTCGAAATATATGGCTCTTCCAGTAATGTCTAATCCCTCCTGTAATGTTTCCTTCCTCCAGTAACGTGTACTTACTCCAGTAGTGCTAGATTTACGTAACTAATCCACAGCAGTTTCCTTTTCTTCTCCACAGAAGATAAAGAAAGAGACAATCGTTGCTTGTTTGGTCTTCCTCCTGCATATGGCATCCGCATATTCTGTGAGTACCATCTTTACACACACACATACATACACAACACACACACACACACACACACACACACACACACACACACACACACACACACACACACGGTTCAGGGAGAGTGACACAGTAGCGACCAGTGAAGAGGCTGGGCCAGGAGCTTGGACTCGACCCCTGCAACCTCAGCTAGGTGAGTACAACTAGGTGAGTACACACACACAGATGGGACACAGAAAAAAGAGGTCATAATTGGAAGTTGAAGACTCAGATGAGTCAAAGAAATGTTAGGAAGTATTTCTTTAGTCATAGTGTTGTCAGGAAGTGGATTAGTCTGGAAAGTGATGTAGTGGAGCCAGGAACCATACATAGTTTTAAGAAGAGGTATGATAAAGCTCATGGAGCAGGGAGAGGACCTAGCGACCAGTAAAAGGCGGGGCCAGGAACTGTGTCCCGACCCCTGCAACGACAAATAGGTGAGTACACACACACACGGAGCTACGACTTGACCCCTGCAACCACAACTAAGTAAGTACACACACACACACACAGGGGCTACGACTTGACCCCTGCAACCACAACTAAGTAAGTACGCACACACACACACAGGGGCTACGACTTGACCCCTGCAACCACAACTAAGTAAGTACACACACACACAGGGGCTACGACTTGACCCCTGCAACCACAACTAAGTAAGTACACACACACACACACACAGGGGCTACGACTTGACCCCTTCAACCACAACTAAGTAAGTACACACACACACAGGGGCTACGACTTGACCCCTGCAACCACAACTAAGTACACACACACACAGGGGCTATGACTTGACCCCTGCAACCACAACTAAGTAAGTACACACACACACAGGGGCTACGACTTGACCCCTGCAACCACAACTAAGTCAGTACACACAGTTCAGCTCAGTCTGTCGTTATCTTCATACATCTCAAGTGATTCCATTGTGTATTATAATGGATATAACAGTCTTTAAGATTATTAATTTGCAGTGTTGGCACATGCAATCTTTACATTGCAAACCTTGGTAACATCATTTCTCGCAATATTTCAGTGATTACTTAGTAAATTCATTGCATTATGTGCCACTGATAAAATTATCAAAAAATAAGTTAAAAATCATGTTTAACGGAACGATGTTTTACTGGTAACGTTTTGCACGTTTAACGATGTTTATTCAGTAATTTTTTTTATTTCCCTTGACAGGTTATCGCATCAAAAATTGGATTGACACTACAGGTAAGTTATTTAATTTATCTTTCGTAACTTTTTTTATTTTGTATTGTGGGTGTGAGATTAGTTACTTGTATCTTTATTTTGTCTCGTTTATTCGTAGTTCGATGACGTTGGTACAGGATGCACTAAAGGCGTTAAGGTGGTTTGGGCATTTAGAGAGGATGGAACAGAATAGGATGACCAAGAGGGTATATATATTATATATATATATATATATATATATATATATATATATATATATATATATATATATATATATATATATATCTTGGGTAGAATGAACGAGGGGCAAGGGTTGTCCTAAGTTGTTTTCAAGGGAACAAATACGAGATTTTTGCGTGCTTGGAGCTTGAGAATCAAGAATACTTGTGCGAGTGTTTATGACAGGAGTAAAATTTAGGGTTTTGAGTAGTAGGGGCTTGAGCATCTAGCAGGACTGAATGAGCGTATCTATAAGAGGAGTTGTGATGCAGTTCAGATGGGCTTGTGAGGTCTCTAGGGAGACCTAATTATATGGTCACACCTGCCTTAGCAAATGTCGGGTAGTCACGCCCACGTCTGAGGTCTTTTGTTCTTGACGGCGTCAGACCTCGGCGTCAGGTCGTAACACGTGGTACATACCCCATTGGGGAGGGGGTACTTTGACTACGATATAAGCCCAGGGAACAGCTGAGCAAGGAGGTTGTTGGTGACAGGTCCGGGGAGCGAGAGCTCTGGACAGCTGCGTGTGTAGTGGACCACGCATTGGGAATCTCGGGTCAGCTGGTCGGTGAATTAAGAGTGAGTACTAGTCTGTGTTACTGATAACATCTACCTTTCCCCCTGGTAATAAGTCTCATAGGTCAATTGTTATATTATGTAAATGTCCATCAGTATATGTGGTATTCTAGCCCTTTTATGTTATTAAGTAAACTATAGCCATAGTTCCCATTTTTTTATTTTGTACCTCCATATGCTATTCCCTATTCTGTTAAGCACTGGGATACACAGGAGACGTGCTCACTTGCTGGGATACCTCAGGTAGAGTGGGTAGAGGTCTCACAGAGTAAGATGTAGGCAGGGTTTTGGGTGCTAGGGGCTTCATCATCTAGCAGGAATGAATGAGCGTATCTATGACTGGAGTAAGATGTAGGAAGGGTTTTGAGTACTAGGGGCTTGAGCATCTAACAGGAATGAATGACTGTATCTATGACGAAGAATAAGATGTAGGCAGGGTTTTGAGTGCTAGGGGCTTGAACATCTAACAGGAATGAATGACTGTATCTATGACGAAGAATAAGATGTAGGCAGGGTTTTGAGTGCTAGGGGCTTGAGCATCTAACAGGACTGAATGAGCGTACCTATAACAAGAGTAAGATGTAGGTAGGATTTTGAGTACTAGAGGCTTGAATAATAATTGACTGAAACCTGAGCAGTGGTCCATGCGGGTAGCAGTCCCAGTGCTGTAATCATCCAGCCACGGGGGTTCAAGAAATGGGAATTTCAAAGTCTTGTTTACTGTACCAAGAGCCGTAATCAATATACCAGCGTGTTACTGTAATTATCTTTATTACCAGTTCGATTAATACCCTAGCACACAGCCAGGATAACATAAGAGATAAGATAAGAGAGATAAGATATCATGAAAGTTGCTTTACTTCGCAGGAGCAGCTATCTTAGTGGGATCCAACAGCAGCAACGTGACTGCTCTGACCAGCTCACAGGTGATCGTCTTGTTCTTCAAGTCACTCTGCTCTTCTACAAGAATACAAGGTGAGATGCTGCTGCCCTCACTCTTCTCCCACTCAGCATCTCAGGCTGCCACTGGGTATTCACCCATATGTGGTTGCAGGGGTCGAGTCACAGCTCCTGGTGTGTATACATGCTCCAGACTGTAGAGATGTATCGGATGTGAAAATTTAGATATCCACGGATGCGCATGTGTATGAGGATGTCTTATTTATTTTGTGGATGCCGATGCATATGCGGATATCTGTTTACGGTAAATTGCGGATGTGGATGCGGATGTGGAAGTAAGAAATTGTGAGGATTTTCCGCGGATGCGGATGCAGATGCGGATGCGGATATCCGATACATCTCTACTCCAGAGATACTAATTGCCTCTTGTTACTGAAGCCATCGTCCTTTAATTCGTCTCTCACCCTACCTCACCTTCCCTCGCCTTCCCCTCACCTTTCTTCACCCTTCCCTCACCTTCCTTCACCCTCCCCACACTTTTCCTCACCCTCCTCTCACCTTTTCTTTCACTCGCCTCATTCTTGGACATAAATAGCTGCTGTCAGGTATTCAATTCTTTATAATTCACAAAAAAAAAAAAAATAGAAAAGAATGGATATCAATTCGAACAAAAATAATAGAGTCGTGGCTAGAACGATTCACAGCTCACAAAAATCATATTTTTTTATTATTTTGCCCACAGACGTGCAGAGGAGAAATTGGAACTTTTTCGGCCTTACTTTCAATCCCATCAATGATGTATGTAAGTATAAATCAGATTTCTTATTTTTATGCATAAATAAGTAAATGTGTGTGTACTCACCTATTTGTACTCACCTATTTGTACTCATCTATTTGTGGTTGCAGGTGTCGATTCATAGCTCCTGGCCCCGCCTCTTCGCTGATTACTACTAGGTCCTCTCTCTCCCTGCCCCATGAGCTTTATCATACCTCGCCTTAAAACTATGTATGGTTCCCGCCTCCACTACGTCACTTTCTAGGCTATTCCACGGCCTGACTACTCTATGACTAAAGAAATACTTCCTAACATCCCTTTGATTCATCTGAGTCTTCAACTTCCAATTGTGACCTCTTGTGTGTGTGTCCCTTCTCTGGAACATCCCGTCTTTGTCCACCTTGTCTATTCCGCGCAGTATTTTATATGTCGTTATCATGTCTCCCCTGACCCTCCTGTCCTCCAGTGTCGTCAGGCCGATTTCCCTCAACCTTTCTTCGTAGGACAATCCCCGTAGCTCTGGGACTAGTCTTGTTGCAAACCTTTGCAATTTCTCTAATTTCTTGACGTGCTTGACTAGGTGTGGATTCCAAACTGGTGCTGCATACTCCAGTATGTGTGTGTGTGTGTGTGTGTGTGTGTGTGTGTGTGTGTGTGTGTGTGTGTGTGTATCTTTGTTAATGTATTTTGTTTTCAATTTTTTTAAATAAAGTTCATATAGAATAATAGTGAAGTAAGTTTATATATATAGTGAAGTGAGTTTATATATAGAATATAGTGAAGTTTATATATAGAATATAGTGAAGTGAGTTTATATATAGAATATAGGGAAGTGAGTTTATATATAGAATATAGTGAAGTGAGTTTATATATAGAATATAGTGAAGTGAGTTTATATATAGAATATAGTGAAGTTTATATATAGAATATAGTGAAGTTTATATATAGAATATAGTGAAGTGAGTTTATATATAGAATATAGGGAAGTGAGTTTATATATAGAATATAGTGAAGTTTATATATAGAATATAGTGAAGTGAGTTTATATATAGAATATAGGGAAGTGAGTTTATATATAGAATATAGGGAAGTGAGTTTATATATAGAATATAGTGAAGTGAGGTTATATATAGAGTATAGTGAAGTTTATATATAGAATATAGTGTAGTGAGTTTATATATAGAATATAGAGAAGTGAGTTTATATATAGTATATAGTGAATTGAGTTTATATGTAGAATATAGTGAAGTGAGTTTATATATAGAATATAGTGAAGTGAGTTTATATATAGAATATAGTGAAGTGAGTTTATATATAGAATATAATGAAGTGAGTTTATATATAGAATATAGTGAAGTAAGTTTATATATAGAATATAGTGAAGTGAGTTTATATATAGAATATAGTGAAGTGAGTTTGTTCTCTTCTCTGAGGACATCAACACACTTTCGTTACAGGTAATTAAAATAACAAACATTCTTATCACTGGCAGGTAACCGAGTGTACAGCTTCCTAACCACCACAGGTAAGTTGATCTTAGTCCTCTTTTGCCTTGTTCTGCCTTATAAGTAACCTGGTAAGTGGAAAGTAGTGTGATACATTACAGGTTAATGTATAATACACACGAGCAACACTTATGTGTCTTTCTCTACTGTCTCCTATGTAATATTCTCCTGTATTCAACTGAAGAGGCCTGCTGCGCAGACGAAACGTTTCGGCAACAAAAATACGCAAGTATTTCACGAGTGTCGTATTAGTAAAAATGTGGTTGTTCGATCCCCGGTGCGGGTAGAAACATTAGGACGTGTTTCCTTAAGACACCTGCTGTCCTTGTTCACCTAGCAGTAAATAGGTACCTGTGTGTTAGTCGACTTGTGTGGGTCGCATCCTGGGGGCAAATTTAACCTGATTTGCGGAAAATGCTCTGCATAACAAGGGGATTTCTACACAGTAGTATGTCAGTGATTTCAGCTATGGTCTGTATAAGTTGCATCATGTACTTGTAGAAATAAAGATTATTATTATTATTATTATTATTATTATTATTATTATTATTATTATTAGTATTATTATTATTATTAACGTAAGAAGAGCACTGTAGTAGACATCTCATTATTAGTTAAGAATATGAGTGACACTATTTCTGTGTGTGTGTATATATATACATATATATATATATATATATATATATATATATATATAATATATATATATATATATATATTTTTTTTTTTTTTTTTTTTCAACAAACCGGCCGTATCCCACCAAGGCAGGGTGGCCCAAAAAGAAAACGAAAGTTTCTCTTTTTAAATTTAGTAATTTATACGGGAGAAGGGGTTACTAGCCCCTTGCTCCTGGCATTTTAGTTGCCTCTTACAACACGCATGGCTTACGGAGGAAGAATTCTGTTCCACTTCCCCATATATATATATTATATATATATATATATATACACATATATATATAATACATATATATATATACATACAGTGGACCCCCGGATAACGATATTTTTTCATTCCAGAAGTATGTTCAGGTGCCAGTACTGACTGAATTTGTTCCCATAAGGAATATTGTGAAGTAGATTAGTCCATTTCAGACCCCCAAACATACACGTACAAACGCACTTACATAAATACACTTACATAACTGGTCGCATTGGGAGGTGATCGTTAAGCGGGGGTCCACTGTACACACATACATATATACATATATATATATATATATATTATATATATATATATATATATATATATATATATATATTAGATGGCCATATCGAAGAAGCTAAATCACCCTGGGGTATACCTAGAGTATACCCGGTACTGATAACAGTATAACAGTGTAGTTGTGTGTCCTCAGGAAGTGCCATCATGCAGGGAGCCAGCACTAACGCTACACTGCTTACACCAGGACAGGTGTTAGTCAGTGCTTTCAGAGCTGTGTGCAACACTTCCAGAAATCAATAACGTGTATAACGTAAGTATCAGATACTTTCAACATGCATGTATATCACAGTTACCAGAGATGACTACAGTGTATCATGTATCAGATACTACAAAGTACCATTATAGTTTTGAGAAAAGTACCACTGTAGTACTGAAAATACCACTGTAGTGCTAAAAACTGTAATTCTAAAGAGTACCAGTATAATTTAAAAAATTACTAGTATAATTGTTAAAAGTACCATTATAGTACTGAAAGGTACCACTCTGATTCTAAAAAGTACCACTGTAATTCTAAAAAGTACCACTGTAATTCTAAAAAGTACCACTGTAATTCTAAAAAGTACCACTGTAATTCTAAAAAGTACCACTGTAATTCTAAAAAATACCCCTGTAATTCTAAAAAGTACCACTGTAATTCTAAAAAGTACCACTATAATTCTAAAAAATACCACTATAATTCTTGAAAGTACCACTATAATTCTAAAATGTACCATTATGGTACTAAAAAGTACCAGTACAGTTCTTATTCATTGTCAGTACTCAACCGTGCACTCATGTACATGGCTGAGTACATGAGTATACAAGTGAATTCTTCCTTCGCTACAACCCTGCCTGACCTATGTACTTTGTCGTGTTATCCTAATGACCGTACTTAGGAACCTAATTCCCTCACCTAATTTCTTATTTTCCTTTGCAGGATGAGAACTGCTCCGTAAGGCACTGAATCCACGTTAACACCATTATTATTATTATTATTATTATTATTATTATTATTTTATTAATTATTATTATTATTATTATTATTATTATTATATTTTTTTTTTATTATTATTATTATTATTTTTCTTATTACCTATTATTATTATTATTATTATTATTATTATTATTATTATTATTATTATTGTTATTATTATTATTATTATTATTATTATTATTGTTATTATTATTATTATTATTATTTTTATTTATTATTTTATTATTATATTATTATTATTATTATTATTATTATTATTATTATTATAATAAGGAATCAACCCATAAAGGCCATATAGCACCTGAGGAAAGGGAGGTAGTCAGGTTTGATCGAGAGAAGGGAGGGTACCATTAATTTTTTGGATCTAGACCTCTTCTCCAACACCAAGGAACATATACATATATATATATATATATATATATATATATATATATATATATATATATATATATATATATATATATATATATATATATATATGTATAAGATTATATTTATCATTAAACACAGTTATTTACTTTAGAGTTATATTCAACCGTCGTGTAGAAGTTAGTTAACTGGTAAATACACCTTAACAAGTGTTGACTTAAAATAGGCCAACACCTGCCACATCTTCAATAAATAAAATATATGAGAAATAAACTATATTACTGTTCATCTTGCATTTTTCTCTCCTGGATATATTCTGATTCCTCACTTATGTCACCTGAAGTACCATAATATTTGTCACCTTATTAGAGCCTAATATGGACAAGCGCATGTAGGTGCGTCCATGTAGTGGGTAATTAGTAGTTACCTAGCTCATGGACTGGTGGCTAAAGATCTCGCTTCACACGACGAGTGTCCGGTTTCGATTCCCAGCCAGGGTAGAAACACTGTGCGTGTTTCTTTACACCTTTGTCTATGTTTATCCATCGGTAAAATAGGTACCTGGGTGTTAGTGGACTGGTGTGGGTCGCATCCTGGGACAAAACTGACCTAATTTGCGGGAAATGCTCAGCATAATAAGCGGCTTTCTATATAGTAGTATGTCACTGATGTCAGCTATGGTCTGTATACCTTGTACATAAGATAAGATAAGATTTCGTTCGGATTTTTAACCCCGTAGGATTAGCCACCCAGGTTAACCCAAGAAAGTTAGTGCGTCATCGAGGACTGTCTAACTTATTTCCATTGGGGTCCTTAATCTTGTCCCCCAGGATGCGACCCACACCGCGACCCACACCAGTCGACTAACACCCAGGTACCTATTTGCTGCTAGGTGAACAGGACAACAGGTGTAAAGAAACGTGTCGAAATGTTTCCACCCACCGGGAATCGAACCCGGGCCCTCCGTGTGTGAAGCGGGAGCTTTAGCCACCAGGCCACCGGGCCACCTACATGTACTGGTAGTAAATAAAGTTATTATTATTATTACAAATTTCACTAGTTTTCAATGACTGACATGCATATGTTCCTTAAAGAAATATTTGGAAAAAATATATATGTGATTGCGATCCTGGTTCGTCAATCGCGTATTGAAAAGGTGTGTGTACAGCAAATAAACCCAGGTGTTTGTGTGGAAAAATAGGTGGGTGTGTGACCCAGCTGGGGTATTTAAGGCTGGAGAGCTGGTGTTGCCAGTACTCATTCCACGGCTTCTCAGACCAAGACCGAGTCATCACCATGCGTGCAGTTGTCATCATCGGTGTTGTGGTGCTGGCTACACTGCACCTTTCCAACTCTGTTAAGGTACACTAGCAAACCTCAGCTCGTTTAAATGCTGAGATCTGTTATCCCGCTTCAGCTCACTGATAAAGTAAGAACTGGTGCCGCGTGGCCTGGTGACTAAAGCTCTCACTTCACACGGCGAGTGTCCGGATTCAGTTCCCGGCGAGGGTAGAAACATTGGACGTGTTTCCTTACACCGGTTATCTATGTGTGGCCCGGTGGCCTGGTGGCTAAAGCTCCCGCTTCACACACGGAGGGCCCGGGTTCGATTCCCGGCGGGTGGAAACATTTCGACACGTTTCCTTACACCTGTTGTCCTGTTCACCTAGCAGCAAATAGGTACCTGGGTGTTAGTCGACTGGTGTGGGTCGCATCCTGGGGGACAAGATTAAGGATCCCAATGGAAATAAGTTAGACAGTCCTCGATGACGCACTGACTTTCTTGGGTTATCCTGGGTGGCTAACCCTCCAGGGTTAAAAATCCGAACGAAATCTTATCTTATCTTATCTATATTTCCCATCAGTAAATTGGGTACCTGTGTGTTACTCGATTAGTGTGGGTCGCATCCTGGGACAAAACTGACCTAATTTGCCTGAAATGCTCAGCACAACAAGCGGCTTTCTATATAGTAGTATGTCATTGATGTCAGCTATGGTCTGTATACCTTATACATGTACTGGTAGTAAATAAAGATTTTTTATTATTATTATTATTATTATTATTATTATTATTATTATTATTATTTTCTCCCTTCAGTTCATTTATAAACTAACAGCTGTTATTCTATCTCGGCTTATTTACAGAGCTGTTATCCCACCTATTTTGCATTTACAGGCTAATAGCTGTTATCCTACCTCAGCTTACTTATAGTCTATGATTTATTATTGCAGTTCAGCTCACATATAAGCTAAGAGTTTTTATTTTGCCTCGACTCATTTACAGATTAAGATCAATTATTCTACAGCTCAACCCGATTTAAGATACACTGTTTCCCAGGATGCCACACATTTCAGTCGACTAACACCCAGGTACCTATTTACTACGAGATGAACAAGGGCAACAGGTGTAAGGATATGTGACCATTCATCTCCTTAATCCAAGAAATCGAACCCAGGACCCTTCGCTTGTGAACTAAATACTCCATCACTGACCTACAGGTCTATTGTACCCTGACGCCGATTTTGCTCTAGGGAAATTGTTACTAAATTGTTGAAATATACGCTTATGCAACACAATTAAGATACTCAAGTGTTGCATAAGTTCTTAGTCATCTAATTTACCATAAGTTCTAATTCGTTAGTTCTCTGAACCATTTATTGAATGTTACTATATTGTTCCACCCATTCTTTTAGATATTTTAACACATCAGGTCGTAGTATCGAGCCCACAGCCATCTCAATTCTATCAAAATTATTATTATTGTTTTGATAATTGTTGTGGTAAAAATAAGAATAAAATACTACTGTATTAATCTAATATAAATAAATTATTTAAAAATACAGTATCAATTCTGAACGTTTTTTCTAAATGCAGCAAATGTGTTGAATCTAAATCTAATTACATTTAGATTACAATTACATATATTAATTGAAATAAATAAATAAATAAATAAATAAATAAATAAATAAACAATGGTTGGTTAAGGGGGGTATGAAGCCTCTCGACTACAAATGGGTCATTAAGGCTGCACGTAACCTGCTTACCACCAGACAGGGACACTTTGATACCTAAGGAAGGAATTGCAGTAAACTGTGTGTGTTTACAATGAGAGATATACATCTCATGGTGTATGTATATATAAAAATGAGACTCAAGACTAACTTATTTTGTATTTTATTTCAGAATGACAAAGCTCAGGACTTGACAGGTATGTATGTACAGTAGACTGTTATGTTACACGGTTGTTACGTTCCTGAAAATGCCGTGTTAGGTAAATCTGTCTTAGATAAACTGAAGAACTTATGGGAAAAATAGAGTTACGTTCCTGGGAACCCCTCAAACAGCCAAACAACTTTTTCTTTTTAGATCTCCAGATCTTACAAAAACAAAAGTCAACATTTAATTGCTGTTCATTGTCGTGATGCATTATGTATGCAACAGAAATGATAGTATTTCTTACCTTATATTATTATTATTATTATTATGTCTGCATAAGGGAAAAGGGGACAAGAGAGAGAGAGAGAACATAAGAATAACAGGAGTGTGGAGAAAGCTGAAGAAAATCGAGATGTCATGGCTGAGAGCAATGTCTGACGTGAATATTAGTGCGGGGAATTCCACTTGTAGGAAATAGTAGATGGTATTGGATAACCTTTCTCTCCCCTCTGCTCTAGCATCACTAAAATTACTCCCACTACTTTTTACTTTCACTATTTCTTCATTTTCCTCTTCCTCCAGCAATCTTAGTCACTCCAGTAGTGTTTAGGTCCTACAGCAATGTTTAGGTCCTCCAGTAATGTTTAGGTCCTCCAGTAATGTTTAGGTCCTCCAGTAATGTTTCGGTCCTCCAGTAATGTTTAGGTCCTCCAGTAATGTTCAGGTCCTCCAGTAATGTTTAGTTCCTCCAGTAATGTTTAGTTCCTCCAGTAATGTTTAGTCTTCCAGTAATGTTTAGAGTCTTCCAGTAATGTTTAGAGTCCTCCAGTAATGTTTCGGTCCTCCAGTAATGTTTCGGTCCTCCAGTAATGTTTAGGTCCTCCAGTAATGTTTAGTTCCTCCAGTAATGTTTAGTCTTCCAGTAATGTTTAGAGTCTTCCAGTAATGTTTAGAGTCCTCCAGTAATGTTTAGTTCCTCCAATAATGTTTAGTTCCTCCAATAATGTTTAGTTCCTCCAGTAATGTTTAGTTCCTCCAGTAATGTTTAGTTCCTCCAATAATGTTTAGTTCCTCCAATAATGTTTAGTTCCTCCAGTAATGTTTAGTTCCTCCAGTAATGTTTAGTTCCTCCAATAATGTTTAGTTCCTCCAATAATGTTTAGTTCCTCCAGTAATGTTTAGTTCCTCCAGTAATGTTTAGTTCCTCCAATAATGTTTAGTTCCTCCAGTAATGTTTAGTTCCTCCAGTAATGTTTAGTTCCTCCAGTAATGTTTAGAGTCTTCCAGTACTATGTCAAGGAAATATAGGAAGTTAATATCAGTTCATCTTCTTCACAGAGAGGACACAACAGTCTTCCAGGGACTTGCGTCATGATCACCAAGACTTCGGACTGTTGTTTTTCTGTGAGTATTACTGTGTGTGTGTGTGTGTGTGTGTGTGTGTGTGTGTGTGTGTGTGTGTGTGTGTGTGTACTTACCTAGCTGTACTCACTTAGTTGTGGTTGCAGGGGTTGAGTCACAACCCCTGGCCCCGCCTCTTTACCGGCCACTACTAGGTCACTCTTCCTGCTTCATAAGCTTTATCATACCTCTTCTTAAAGCTATGTATGGATCCTGCCTCCACTACATCACTTACCATACTATTCCACTTCCTGACCACTCTGTGACTGAAGAAGTACTTCCAAACATCCCTGTGATTCAACTGAGTCTTCAACTTCCAACTGTGACCCCTTGTTGCAGTGTCCCATCTCTGGAACATCCTGTCTCTGTCTACTTTGTCAATTCCTCTCAGTATTTTATATGTCATTGTCATATCCTCCCTATCTCTCCTGTCCTCCAGTGTCATCAGGTCGATTTCCCTTAACCTCTTCTCGTAGGACATACCCGTTAGCTCCAGGACTAGTATTGTTGCAAACCTTAACACTTTCTCTAATTTCCTTATGTGCTTGGCTAGGTGTGGGTTCGAAAGTGGTATTGCATACTGCAATAAAGGCCTGACATATGCAGTGTACAGGGTCTTGACGATTCCTTATTAAAATGCCGGAATGTTTTTCTTAGGTTTACTAGGCACCCTTATGCTGCAGCAGTTATTTGGTTGATGTGAGCTTCAGGAGATGTGCTCGGTGTTATACTCACCCCAAGATCCTTATCCTTGAGTGAGGTTTGTAGTCTCTGGCCCCCTGCGTCTGTGTACTCACCTAGTTGTACTCACCTAGTTGAGGTTGCGGGGGTCGAGTCCGAGCTCCTGGCCCCGCCTCTTCACTGATCGCTACTAGGTCACTCTCCCTGAGCCGTGAGCTTTATCATACCTCTGCTTAAAGCTATGTATGGATCCTGCCTCCACTACATCGCTTCCCAAACTATTCCACTTACTGACTACTCTGTGGCTGAAGAAATACTTCCTAACATCCCTGTGATTCATCTGTGTCTTCAGCTTCCAACTGTGTCCCCTTGTTACTGTGTCCAATCTCTGGAACATCCTGTCTTTGTCCACCTTGTCAATTCCTCTCAATATTTTGTATGTCGTTATCATGTCCCCCCTATCTCTCCTGTCCTCCAGTGTCGTCAGGTTGATTTCCCTTAACCTCTCCTCGTAGGACATACCTCTTAGTTCTGGGACTAGTCTTGTTGCAAACCTTTGCACTTTCTCTAGTTTCTTCACGTGTGTGTGCCTGTGTCTGTGTGTGCGTGTCTGTGTCTGTGATTTGGTAATTGACGATGTTTACCAGTCAATAAACAATTCCTATAAAGTAAAAAAAACAACGTTGTAAGGCAGATTAAGATGTTTATAATGCAAATGATGTTAACATGATAAATGACTATGTTAACATGGTAATTAATGATGTTCATATGTTAACGGATCATGTTAACATGGCGAAAGACGATGTTTATTTCTTAATTTAAGATTCACAAGAAAATTATTATACCTCGTTCAGTGTTGTTTACTCACTGATGTTTATCCTCCAATTACACATCTAATTTATGTTTATTTGTGGCAATGTTTACATAGAAAATATTTCCATATTACTGTTTACAAACTGAATATTTAAGTGTCCCCTGACAGGTAATGGCATATCCGGCTGGCTCAATACCACAGGTAAGTCTTCAACAGGTCTTGTACCTGTATCCCTCGTATATTATTACCACAGGTAAGTCTTCAACAGGTCTTGTACCTGTATCCCTCGTATATTATTACCACAGGTAAGTATTCAACAGGTCTTGTACCTGTATCCCTCGTATATTATTACCACAGGTAAGTATTCAACAGGTCTTGTACCTGTATCCCTCGTATATTATTACCACAGGCAAGTCTTCAACAGGTCTTGTACCTGTATCCCTCGTATATTATTACCACAGGTAAGTATTCAACAGGTCTTGTACCTGTATCCCTCGTATATTATTACCACAGGTAAGTCTTCAACAGGTCTTGTACCTGTATCCCTCGTACATTATTGCCGCAGGTAAGTCTCCAGCAGGTCTTGTACCTGTATCCCTCGTATATTATTACCACAGGTAAGTCTTCAACAGGTCTTGTACCTGTATCCCTCGTATATTATTACCACAGGCAAGTCTTCAACAGGTCTTGTACCTGTATCCCTCGTATATTATTACCACAGGTAAGTATTCAACAGGTCTTGTACCTGTATCCCTCGTATATTATTACCACAGGTAAGTCTTCAACAGGTCTTGTACCTGTATCCCTCGTATATTATTACCACAGGTAAGTCTTCAACAGGTCTTGTACCTGTATCCCTCGTATATTATTACCACAGGTAAGTCTTCAACAGGTCTTGTACCTGTATCCCTCGTATATTATTACCACAGGTAAGTATTCAACAGGTCTTGTACCTGTATCCCTCGTATATTATTACCACAGGTAAGTCTTCAACAGGTCTTGTACCTGTATCCCTCGTATATTATTACCACAGGTAAGTCTTCAACAGGTCTTGTACCTGTATCCCTCGTATATTATTACCACAGGTAAGTCTTCAACAGGTCTTGTACCCGTATCCCTCGTATATTATTACCACAGGTAAGTCTTCAACAGGTTTTATACCTGTATCCCTCATATATTATTACCACAAGTGATATTTGGCTGTGTCTGGCAAGACAGCCACTGAATGATGGTGAAAGTATTTCTTTTATTTTTTAGGTCACCTTGGTACAAAAACGCCAGTATGCTAAAAAAAATCATGGAGAAGCACTAATTGGTCATACTACGCCTGGGGAATTTCTAAATTTTAAAAATCCTAGTTCTACATGTATTTTAAATCATGTGTCTTCCGCTGTAGTAGATCTCCAATCAAGTCATGATTATATATATATATATATATATATATATATATATATATATATATATATATATATATATATATATATATATATAGTAGTACCTATATATAGTACCTAATATATATATATATATATATATATATATATAGGTAGTAGGTTGGTAGACAGCAACCACCAGGGAAGTACTACCGTCCTGCCAGATGACTGTGAAACAAAAACCTGTAACTGTTTTGCATGAGGTAGGATTGCTGTTTTCTTTTCTGTCTCATAAACACGCTAGATAACAGGGATATCTTGCTACTCCTACTTACACTTTGGTCACACTTCACAGACACGCACATGCATATATATATATATACATACATCTAGGTTTTTCTCCTTATTCTAAATAGCTCTTGTTCTTTTTTATTTCTTCTATTGTCCATGGGGAAGTGGAAAAGAATCTTTCCTCCGTAAGCCATGCGTGTCGTATGAGGCGACTAAAATGCCGGGAGCAATGGGCTAGTAACCCCTTCTCCTGTATACATTTACTAAAAAAGAGAAGAAGAAAAACTTTATAAAACTGGGTTGTTTAAATGTGCGTGGATGTAGTGCGGATGACAAGAAACAGATGATTGCTGATGTTATGAATGAAAAGAAGTTGGATGTCCTGGCTCTAAGCGAAACAAAGCTGAAGGGGGTAGGAGAGTTTCAGTGGGGGGAAATAAATGGGATTAAATCTGGAGTATCTGAGAGAGTTAGAGCAAAGGAAGGGGTAGCAGTAATGTTAAATGATCAGTTATGGAAGGAGAAAGAGAATATGAATGTGTAAATTCGAGAATTATGTGGATTAAAGTAAAGGTTGGATGCGAGAAGTGGGTCATAATAAGCGTGTATGCACCTGGAGAAGAGAGGAATGCAGAGGAGAGAGAGAGATTTTGGGAGATGTTAAGTGAATGTATAGGAGCCTTTGAACCAAGTGAGAGAGAGTAATTGTGGTAGGGGACTTGAATGCTAAAGTAGGAGAAACTTTTAGAGAGGGTGTGGTAGGTAAGTTTGGGGGTGCCAGGTGTAAATGATAATGGGAGCCCTTTGATTGAACTTTGTATAGAAAGGGGTTTAGTTATAGGTAATACATATTTTAAGAAAAAGAGGATAAATAAGTATACACGATATGATGTAGGGCGAAATGACAGTAGTTTGTTGGATTATGTATTGGTAGATAAAAGACTGTTGAGTAGACTTCAGGATGTACATGTTTATAGAGGGGCCACAGATATATCAGATCACTTTCTAGTTGTAGCTACACTGAGAGTAAAAGGTAGATGGGATACAAGGAGAATAGAAGCATCAGGAAGAGAGAGGTGAAGGTTTATAAACTAAAAGAGGAGGCAGTTAGGGTAAGATATAAACAGCTATTGGAGGATAGATGGGCTAATGAGAGCATAGGCAATGGGGTCGAAGAGGAATGGGGTAGGTTTAAAAATGTAGTGTTAGAGTGTTCAGCAGAAGTTTGTGGTTACAGGAAAGTGGGTGCAGGAGGGAAGAGGAGCGATTGGTGGAATGATGATGTAAAGAGAGTAGTAAGGGAGAAAAAGTTAGCATATGAGAAGTTTTTACAAAGTAGAAGTGATGCAAGGAGGGAAGAGTATATGGAGAAAAAGAGAGAGGTTAAGAGAGTGGTGAAGCAATGTAAAAAGAGAGCAAATGAGAGAGTGGGTGAGCTGTTATCAACAAATTTTGTTGAAAATAAGAAAAAGTTTTGGAGTGAGATTAACAAGTTAAGGAAGCCTAGAGAACAAATGGATTTGTCAGTTAAAAATAGGAGAGGAGAGTTATTAAATGGAGAGTTAGAGGTATTGGGAAGATGGAGGGAATATTTTGAGGAATTGTTAAATGTTGATGAAGATAGGGAAGCTGTGATTTCGTGTATAGGGCAAGGAGGAATAACATCTTGTAGGAGTGAGGAAGAGCCAGTTGTGAGTGTGGGGGAAGTTCGTGAGGCAGTAGGTAAAATGAAAGGGGGTAAGGCAGCCGGGATTGATGGGATAAAGATAGAAATGTTAAAAGCATGGTGGGATATAGTTTTGGAGTGGTTGGTGCAATTATTTAATAAATGTATGGAAGAGGGTAAGGTACCTAGGGATTGGCAGAGAGCATGCATAGTTCCTTTGTATAAAGGCAAAGGGGATAAAAGAGAGTGCAAAAATTATAGGGGGATAAGTCTGTTGAGTGTACCTGGTAAAGTGTATGGTAGAGTTATAATTGAAAGAATTAAGAGTAAGACGGAGAATAGGATAGCAGATGAACAAGGAGGCTTTAGGAAAGGTAGGGGGTGTGTGGACCAGGTGTTTACAGTGAAACATATAAGTGAACAGTATTTAGATAAGGCTAAAGAGGTCTTTGTGGCATTTATGGATTTGGAAAAGGCGTATGACAGGGTGGATAGGGGGGCAATGTGGCAGATGTTGCAAGTGTATGGTGTAGGAGGTAGGTTACTGAAAGCAGTGAAGAGTTTTTACGAGGATAGTGAGGCTCAAGTTAGAGTATGTAGAAAAGAGGGAAATTTTTTCCCAGTAAAAGTAGGCCTTAGACAAGGATGTGTGATGTCACCGTGGTTGTTTAATATATTTATAGATGGGGTTGTAAGAGAAGTAAATGCGAGGGTCTTGGCAAGAGGCGTGGAGTTAAAAGATAAAGAATCACACACAAAGTGGGAGTTGTCACAGCTGCTCTTTGCTGATGACACTGTGCTCTTGGGAGATTCTGAAGAGAAGCTGCAGAGATTGGTGGATGAATTTGGTAGGGTGTGCAAAAGAAGAAAATTAAAGGTGAATACAGGAAAGAGTAAGGTTATGAGGATAACAAAAAGATTAGGTGATGAAAGATTGAATATCAGATTGGAGGAGAGAGTATGGAGGAGGTGAACGTATTCAGATATTTGGGAGTGGACGTGTCAGCGGATGGGTCTATGAAAGATGAGGTGAATCATAGAATTGATGAGGGAAAAAGAGTGAGTGGTGCACTTAGGAGTCTGTGGAGACAGAGAACTTTGTCCTTGGAGGCAAAGAGGGGAATGTATGAGAGTATAGTTTTACCAACGCTCTTATATGGGTGTGAAGCATGGGTGATGAATGTTGCAGCGAGGAGAAGGCTGGAGGCAGTGGAGATGTCATGTCTGAGGGCAATGTGTGGTGTGAATATAATGCAGAGAATTCGTAGTTTGGAAGTTAGGAGGAGGTGCGGGATTACCAAAACTGTTGTCCAGAGGGCTGAGGAAGGGTTGTTGAGGTGGTTCGGACATGTAGAGAGAATGGAGCGAAACAGAATAACTTCAAGAGTGTATCAGTCTGTAGTGGAAGGAAGGCGGGGTAGGGGTCGGCCTAGGAAGGGTTGGAGGGAGGGGGTAAAGGAGGTTTTGTGTGCGAGGGGCTTGGACTTCCAGCAGGCATGCGTGAGCGTGTTTGATAGGAGTGAATGGAGACAAATGGTTTTTAATACTTGACGTGCTGTTGGAGTGTGAGCAAAGTAACATTTATGAAGGGATTCAGGGAAACCGGCATGCCCGGGCTTGAGTCCTGGAGATGGGAAGTACAGTGCCTGCACTCTGAAGGAGGGGTGTTAATGTTGCAGTTTAAAAACTGTAGTGTAAAGCACCCTTCTGGCAAGACAGTGATGGAGTGAATGATGGTGAAAGTTTTTCTTTTTCGGGCCACCCTGCCTTGGTGGGAATCGGCCAGTGTGATAATAAAAAAAAAAAAAAAAAAAAAAAAAAAAAAAAAAAAAAAAAAAAAAATAATAATAAATATATATATATATATATATATATATATATATATATATATATATATATATATATATATATATATATATATATATATATATATGCAAAACAACCACTCTGAAAGAATGGAGAAATTCCAAGCGCTTTCGTGACTTCTCACATTATCAAGGAACTATGTTCATAGTTCCTTGATAATGTGAGTAGTCGCGAAAGCGCTTGGAATTTCTCTATTCTTTCAGAGTGGTTGTTTTGCATATTCTGAAATCACCTGTTTACTGTGATCTTATTGCATATATATATATATATATATATGTCGTGCCGAATAGGCAGAACTTGCGATCTTGGCTTAAATAGCAACGTTCATCTTGCCATATAGGACAAGTGAAAATTTGTGTATGCAATAATTTCGCCGAAATCATTCTGAGCCTAACGAAAAAAATATATTTGATTGCGTTTGTTTATTACTAAATTATTGTAAACGTATTTAAAATATATTTAGTTGAGTTAGGCTAAAATAAATTGTTCTTGTTATAATAAGGTTAGGTAAGTTTTCTAAGATTCTTTTGGTGCAAAATTAAAATTTTTTACATTAACATTAATGAAAAAAATATATCTTTAAACGTATAAGAGAAAATTTTAGAAAGGACTTAATTTTAAATGAGTTCTTGCTAATTGACCAGTTTTACATATTCGGCACGACATATATATATATATATATATAATATATATATTATATATATATATATATATATATATATATATATATATATATATATATATATATATATATATATATATATATATATATATTATATAATATAATATCTTTATTTATTTACTACAAGTACATGTACAAGGTATGCAGACCATAGCTGACATCAATGACATACTACTATATAGAAAGTCGCTTGTTATGCTGAGCATTTCCCGAAAATTAGGTCAGTTTTGTCCCAGGATGCTACCCACACCAGTCGACTAACACCCAGGTGTAAAGAAACATGCCCAATGTTTCTACCCTGGCTGGGAATCGAACCCAAACCCTCGCCGTGTGAAGCGAGAGCTTGAGCCACCAGGCGACCAGGCCTGTCAACATTGGTCTTAGTTGAAAATATATAGAATACAGAAGAATGAGGGAGCCAAAATCTGCATTGACCTGAAATATCGATGTGTTTTATAGCACTAGTTATTGTACTGATAAAGATTTATTTGTGACGTGGTACGAAGGTCGAGTGATGTCAGCTGATACAGAGACACTTAATTCAGAGTAAAAAGCTTCGTTATACTTGTATCGTACTTAGTGTACCTTGCTAATTCTCCCCGTTGATACACTTGCCAGGAGTTTAAGTTTAATATTTTTATTATGTACCCCATACCCATCCTGTGGGCTGTAGTCAAAGGATTATAGAGGTACATGATGGGTCCAGGGACTGGGCTACAAAGTACCTGGACCTTATATGTACCTCTGTAATCCTTTGACTACCAACTCTGGTTTCTCTTCAAAACGAATAAATCTGTCGCCTTTTGACTTGCCAGGAGCCGTCGTTATAGCCGGGGTCAGCGCTAATGTCACAGCTTGGACAGATCAACAAGTGTTTGTCAACTTCCTCAACTCTCTGTGCAACTCTACTAAACTAAATGGTAAGTTCCTTTATTTTCAATCCCTCCTTTACCACCTGCCCTTCACTCATCACCTGTCCACCCATCACCTGCCCTTCACTCATCACCTGTCCACCCATCACCTGCCCTTCACTCATCACCTGTCCACCCATCACCTGTCCTTCACTCATCACCTGTCCACCCATCACCTGCCCTTCACTCATCACCTGTCCACCCATCACCTGCCCTTCACTCATCACCTGTCCACCCATCACCTGTCCTTCACTCATCACCTGTCCACCCACTTGTTACTTAGCTGTTCGAACGTTTAATATCACAAGGATCCCAATGGAAATAAATCACTTGGTCTGACTTTTTTTTGAGGGGAAGGGGGGCTACCCTAGGTAATTTACACATATGTTACTATGTACGATAATTCGTGTAACTGTATTTATGTGTACCTGTACCTAAATCAACTTACATGTACTCTCATGAACTTCCACGTTCTCCTGGATATTCCAATGTTTATCCATGTGTTTCAGTAAACTCTTCTCTCTTATCCTCCCTTCACACTTAAGAACTATAAGATACCTCCCTTCATGTACGAGTGCTGAAGGGTGCGAGACGCCTTCGCCAGCATCATCCTCCTACCCTTCCTGTGAAGGGACAAATTAGCAATTAACAACAAATATTTAAAGAGATGTTACCTGTGCTAATTAAAATATATGAGGTGTAAATACCAGAAATGTCAGGTTTATTTCTCTTGCTTGTAGGAAGCTTGGAGCCTAACAATCCTGGGTCTGGGTTCAACCCCTTCGGTAACAGGCCCGGGTTTGGGTTCAGCCCCTTCGGTTACAGGCCAGGCAACAGACCAGGCAACAGACCAGGCAACAGACCAGGCAACAGACCCTTCAACGGACCTAATCCTATGACCCTTTTGTGTAAGTAATAAAACTATCGCTTAAATATATATATATATATATATAATATTATATATATATATATATATATATATATATATATATATATATATATATATATTATATATATATATATATAAAATATTCAACAAGTTGGGCGTCTCCCACCGAGGCAGGGTGACCCAAAAAAAGAAAGAAAATCCCCAAAAAGAAAATACTTTTCATCATTCAACACTTTCACCACACTCACACATTATCACTCTTTTGCAGAGGTGCTCAGAATACAACAGTTTAGAAGCATATACGTATAAAGATACACAACATATCCCTCCAAACTGCCAATATCCCAAACCCCTCCTTTAAAGTGCAGGCATTGTACTTCCCATTTCCAGGACTCAAGTCCGACTATAAGAAAATAACCGGTTTCCCTGAATCCCTTCACTAAATATTACCCTGCTCACACTCCAACAGATCGTCAGGTCCCAAGTATCATTCGTCTCCATTCACTCCTATCTAACACGCTCATGCACGCTTGCTGGAAGTCCAAGCTCCTCGCCCACAATACCTCCTTTACCCCCTTTTCCAACCCTTTCGAGGACGACCCCTACCCCTCTTTCCTTCCCCTATAGATTTATATGCTTTCCATGTCATTCTACTTTGATCCATTCTCTCTAAATGACCAAACCACCTCAACAACCCCTCTTCTGCCCTCTGACTAATACTTTTATTAACTCCACACCTTCTCCTAATTTCCACACTCCGAATTTTCTGCATAATATTTACACCACACATTGCCCTTAGACAGGACATCTCCACTGCCTCCAACCGTCTCCTCGCTGCTGCATTTACCATATATATATATATATATTATATATATATATATATATATATATATATTTATATATATATATATATATATATATATATATATATAATATATATATTATATTTTTTTTATATAAAAATATAGGGAAGTACCACCTCTATAGCTGGAATGGGGACCCTCATCCTCAGAGAAGACAATAAACGTACCTCAGAGAAAACTCAAGGTTCTCCCCAGAGCTGTTTGAATATTTTCTTCTCCTACCACCCCCTATATATTTTTTATTCTATGTGAACATTTATTAATAAACAAAATACATTTACAGAAAAAAACATAAACATGAATACAATGGCACAATGTATCAAAGATCATGAATTTCCTCCAGCTCCTCCGAGGCTGGACGTGAGCCAAGTATGCAGCAGCATTTCCCCTCTGGATGGCGACGCTGAGGCGCTGGAACATGAAAGTGGCTGCCCTTGGGTCCCTGGTGGTGTCGATGAGTCTGGAACCCAATTCTTTAAGGAAACGTGTGGCATTTTTTCCCCATGATCCCAAGGTCTCTGATCCACTGGGACAAATTGATACTGTTGGCTAATGTCCCTGTACTTGCTGATCTTGTACTCCTCCCTGTGGTCAGCAGCTCCTCCCTGTCGCCCCACACTGTGATGGATATAGGTGTCAGCCAGTGTGGACACACAGGTATAGTCCCATGCTAAGAGCTGCCATTCTTCCAAGGATAAATGGTGATCCCGTCGGGGCGGTTTGCTGGGTTGTGGGTATTGTTTGCTGCAAGTGATCGTGGCTCCCTCTCGGCAGGGCATCCAGCTGTAGCAAGGGTTCTCTTAATGATGTCGTTGACCTCATTGTGTCTTGCATGCCAGCCCTTGGTTTTGGAACAGTTAAGACCATGTAGACCGTATTGGTCTGCTTGCACTTCGCCGCAAATACACATATATTCTGTGTGAATTGGGGCAGCAAGGCGCAGAGCCACTGCAATACGGAGGGTCTTAGGGTCGAGTCGCGTTCCCATTGCCGATATGGGAACTGTTTGGAGGAAGTCCCCGGAGTGAGTGCACTCACAGCCTGGAGACGGGCAATCTCCCTATCTGATGTTGCAGCCCTGAGCATGTTGGCAAGCACCTTTTCAGCAATTGGGCTATCCCAGCTTGACTGTTTGTGAGCCAGTGCTGCACTAGGGTTTGGTGCTGGAGCAGCAAGAGTCTCCCATTCGGTGATGGCACTAACATAGCTAGGGTCTTCTATTCCTGCTGAGTCACTGAGGGTGTCAGGAAGAATTTGTCTTATCAACTCGTTTGATATATATATATATATATATATATATATATATATATATATATGTGTGTGTGTGTGTGTAGTGTGTGTGCGTGTGTGTGTGTGTGTGTTGTTGTGTGTGTATGTGTGTGTGTGTGTGTGTTGTGTTGTGTGTTATTAAACTGGCAAACTGCTGCTCCGACGCTAGTTGTGCTCCGAAAATATGGGTCATTCTATTATTTTAAAATTTCATATTAATAATATATTTATATATACGGTAATTCACGTTATCTTCAATCCATATGCATTATGCATCAATGTGTGTTAAATTCTCTGACTATCAAATGTGTTTAAACAAGTTGGATGATGAACTGGATTGTGCTCACTCTTTGATGCACTGGACTGTGCATCATTCATGATGCAATGACTCTGTACATCACTCTTCCTGATGCAACTGACTCTGTGCATCCTCTTCATGATGCAACTGGACTCTGTGCCATCTCTTCATGATGCAACTGACTCTGTGCCAAACTCTTCATGATGCAATGGACTCTTGCATCTCTTCATGATGCAACTGGATTGTGCACATCTTCTTTGCAATGACCGTGCCATCATCTTCATGATGCAAACTGGATCTGTTACATCACTCTTCATGATGCAAACTGGACTCTTGCATCAATTTCATGATGCAACTGGACTCTGTGCCATCACTCTTCATGATGCAACTGGACTCTGTGCCATCACTCTTCATGATGCAACTGGACTCTGTGCCATCACTCTTCATGATGCAACTGGACTCTGTGCCATCACTCTTCATGATGCAACTGGACTCTGTGCCATCACTCTTCATGATGCAACTGGACTCTGTGCCATCACTCTTCATGATGCAACTGGACTCTGTGCCATCACTCTTCATGATGCAACTGGACTCTGTGCCATCACTCTTCACGCAGTACAAACAAGATACTCGCTTGCGATGGCAGCGGAATATAACTAGTGCAGTGTAGATAAGTATTTTTCTGGTTAATAAACACACACACACACACACACAGTGGGCACCTGTGACGAGCGGGGTCCCACAGGGGTCGGTCCTAGGACCAGTGCTATTTTTGGTATATGTGAACGACGTGATGGAAGGGATACACTCAGAAGTGTTCGTGTTCGCAGATGATGTGAAGTTAATGAGGAGAATTAAATCAGATGAGGATCAGGCAGGACTTCAAAGAGACCTGGACAGACTGGACACCTGGTCCAGCAACTGGCTTCTCAAATTTAACCCCGCCAAATGCAAAGTCATGAAGATCGGGGAAGGGCACAGAAGACCGCAGACGGAAGTGTAGGCTAGGTGGCCAAAGACTACAAACCTCGCTCAAGGAAAAAGATCTTGGGGTGAGTATAACACCAAGCATGTCTCTGGAAGCACACATCAACCAGATAACTGCTGCAGCATATGGGCGCCTGGCAAACCTGAGAACAGCGTTCCGATGCCTTAGTAAGGAATCGTTCAAGACACTGTACACCGTGTACGTCAGGCCCATACTGGAGTATGCAGCACCTGTTTGGAACCCACACTTGATAAAACACGTCAAGAAACTAGAGAAAGTGCAAAGGTTTGCGACAAGGTTAGTTCCAGAGCTAAGGGGAATGTCCTATGAAGAAAGGTTAAGGGAAATCGGCCAGACGACACTGGAGGACAGGAGGGTCAAGGGAGACATGATAACGACATATAAAATACTGCACGGAATAGACAAGGTGGACAAAGACAGGATGTTTCAGGGAGGGGACACAGAAAAAGAAGTCACAATTGGAAGTTAAAGACTCAGATGAGTCAAAGGGATTTTAGGAAGTATTTCTTCAGTCATAGAGTTGTCAGGCAGTGGAATAGCCTAGAAAGTGACGTAGTGGAGGCGGGAACCATACATAGTTTTAAGACGAGGTTTGATAAAGCTCATGGAGCGGGGAGAGAGAGAGGACCTAGTAGCAACCAGTGAAGAGGCGGGGCCAGGAGCTATGACTCGACCCCTGCAACCACAAATAGGTGAGTACACACAGTTAGTTTAATATATTTATTATGCACCCCATACCCATCCTGTGGGCGGTAATCAAAAGATTACAGAGGTACATAATAGGTCCAGGGACTGTACCCCAAAGTTATGATAGATGAACTAGTTACAAAGGTAATGAACTCCAGGTAGATCTGGTCACAGTCATGGCAAGTTACAAAGGTAATGAATCATCCTCAGTCCTATACATGGTTAATTACAAAGTAATGAGCCACTGACACGTCCACACCTGGTCACAGTTGTAATGAGTTATAAATACAAATATTAAGTGGGTCATACACCTACACGAGCGCGCGCGCGCACACATACACACACGAGGGCGCACGCACAGACACATGCACATGAGCGTACCAGTGAACACACACAACACACACACACACACACAATGGTCGTGAAAATACCACTGTGGATAAAATACTTGGGTTGCAATTTCTTGAACATTTCTGAGTGGTTGTCTCTAAATTCATTAATCTGATCGCACTCCGTACAAATGTCTGTGCAAGTGTGACGCACTCCAGTACATAATGCAGCAGGTGTGACGCACTCCAGTTACAGTATGACGCAGGGTGTGACGCACATCCAGTACATAATGACGCAGGGTGTTGGACGCATCCGTACATATGCGAAGCTGGTGTGACGCATCCAGTACAATAATGACGCAGGGCGTGGACGCACGCAGTACATAATGACGCAGGTGTGACGCACTCCAGTTACATAATGACCAGGTGTGACGCACTCCAGTACATAATGACGCAGGGTTGTGACGCATTCCAGAATAATGACGCAAGGTGTGACGCACTCTAGTACATAATGACGCAAGGTGTGACGCACTCTAGTACATAATGACGCAAGGTGTGACGCACTCTAGTACATAATGACGCAAGGTGTGACGCACTCCAATTCATAATGACGCAGTGTGTGACAATAGTCCATCTGGCAAAGTTTACATTTCGTTTGGTCTACATCTGGTGGTGGTGATTTAACCAGCCAAAGATACTTGTAACCCAGCCGGAGCCGGGCGGTAGTGACAGCCGAAGCCGGGCGGTAGTGACAGCCGGAGCCGGGCGGTAGTGACAGCCGGAGCCGGGCGGTAGTGATAGCCGGAGCCGGGCGGTAGTGACAGCCGGAGCCGGGCGGTAGTGACAGCCGGAGCCGGGCGGTAGTGACAGCCGGAGCCGGGCGGTAGTGACAGCCGGAGCCGGGCGGTAGTGACAGCCGGAGCCGAGCGGTAGTGACAGCCGGAGCCGGGCGGTAGTGACAGCCGGAGCCGGGCGGTAGTGACAGCCGGAGCCGGGCGGTAGAGACAGCCGGAGCCGGGCGGTAGTGACAGCCGGAGCCGGGCGGTAGTGACAGCCGGAGCCGGGCGGTAGTGACAGCCGGAGCCGGGCGGTACTGACAGCCGGAGCCGGGCGGTAGTGACAGCCGGAGCCGGGCGGTAGTGACTTATTTTGTTCTCACACACTCATTTATGTTTACAACAATTAAAATGATTTTTCTTCTGCAGGTTCCCCGCTGAACATCTTCCTTAACACCACAGGTAAATTGAACAAAGTTCTTAATTTTTCTGTATAAATTTCGTCACATATCACTAACGTATTATTATTATTATTATTATTATTATTATTATTATTATTAGTAGTAGTAGTAGTAGTAGTAGTAGTAGTAGTAGTAGTAGTGGTGTTGGTAGTAGTAGTAGTAGTAGTAGTAGTGGTAGTAGTAGTAGTAGTGGTGGTAGTAGTAGTAGTAGTAGTAGTAGTAGTAGTGGTAGTAGTAGTGGTAGTAGTAGTAGTAGTAGTGGTAGTAGTAGTAGTAGTGGTAGTAGTAGTAGTAGTAGTGGTAGTAGTAGTAGTAGTAGTAGTGGTGGTGGTGGTAGTAGTAGTAGTAGTAGTAGTAGTAGTAGTAGTGGTAGTAGTAGTAGTAGTAGTGGTGGTAGTAGTAGTAGTAGTAGTAGTAGTAGTAGTAGTAGTAGTAGTAGTGGTAGTAGTAGTGGTAGTAGTAGTAGTAGTAATAGTAGTAATAGTAGTAGTAGTAGTAATAATAATAATAATAATAATAGTAATAATAATAGTAGTAGTAGTAGTAATAATAGTAGTAGTAGTATATTAATTATAATATTCGCTACAATGTAAGGAACAGTATTGATGTTAGTATAACAGTATTGTAAACAGTGTTTGAAACGTTACAACAGAAGTGTAAACAGTACAGATATCTTTATAGTAATATTGCTAACAGTATAACAGTTCAATGAACAGTATAAATATCAGTATAGATAACAAAAAGGCACAATACCTTGACTGGAACAATACACAAATAACCAGCACATAGGAAAGAGGACTCGGACCATTCACAAGTCGGACCGAAACGACGTCATAAGCTTCTCTCTCCTATGTGGGGTTAATCTGTGTGGTATAACAGTATATACATGTATATATAGTTTTGAGCTCCCCCTCCCTTCCCAGGAAGTGTCATCATGCAGGGAGCCAGCACCAACGCTACACTACTCACATCAGCACAGTTGTTGATCAGTATGTTTGAGGCTGCCTGCAACGTCACCAGAGGTGCCTTCAGTGTGTTAGGTAAGTAGCAGATACTTGTAACGTTCATGTATAGCAACGCAGTTGATTACAGTGGAGAACGAAAAAGCACAATACCCTGACTGGAGCAATACACAATAATAACCCGCACGATGATGTTTTGGTCCGATTTGAATCATTTACAGTCATACTTTGTAAATGGTCCAACAGTCTTGCTGATGAGGCAATTAACTAGGCCACGGGGGGCAATTGTCCCCCCGAAATCCACATCAACTATGCAAAAGGACATCGTAATGGGATTCTCGTGGCTGTATTTTAATATGTGAATTCTAATTTTCTCTGCAGGTTAAAAGGAGCCGCACGCTGGACCCAAGAGACAGTACGGAAGACACTACAGATCTAACTTTTATTGGGCCAGTGTTTCTCTCTGTGTAAACCTTGATCTGGTAACTATGGCTTGTCTTGATTAAGCTCTACACAAAGCTAGATTACTCGTTCTATAGTCAAAGATGTTTTTCTCTAATGGCGACAAGTTTATAAATCACAGGTACTCCACCAGGACATTCATTATTGGTTCATTTCGCCAACCTGGAACTTTGACATAAATGTAATGGCCAGCCATAAGTCTAACATAAGACTGAAGTTGAATATATTTCCTTGAACGAAATATTTCCATGATATATGTCAGAGTGTTGTACCCGTGAATTATTTACACACTAGCTCCATAGTCTGAGGCTGTAGAATAAATTGAAATTTATATAAACGAAATTATGATTTAATCTTGAATTCTCCTCCCGATGATGGTGAATGTCACTAAAATATTAACAATAAAATTGAAATCCAAGTAATTTTTCTTCTTCCTCTTTAATAAATACCTATATCCATTCCCCAAATAGGGGAATGTACGAGAGTGATGAATGTTGCAACAAGGAGAAGGCTGGAGGTAGTGGAGATGTAGTGTCTGAGGGCAATGTACAGTGTGAATATTATGCAGAGAATCCATAGTTTGGAATTTAATAGGTGTTGAAGGGTTGTTGAGGTGATTCGGTTATATAGAGAGGATGGGATGAATTAGAATGAATTGGAGAGTGTATAAATTTGTAGTGGAAAGAAGGAAGGTGGGGTAGGGGTTGGACTAGGAAAGATTGCAGGGAAAGGGTGAAGGAGGTTTTGTGTATGAGGGGCTTGGACTTCTAGCAAGCATGTATGAGCATGTTAGATAGGAGTGGAGACAAATGGTTTTTACGACTTTATGTGCTGTTGGAGTGTGAGCAGGGTAACATTTATGAAGAGATTTAGGGAAATCGGCGAGCGGGACCTGAGTCCTACTACATCCTCTCTGGAAACAGAGCTTTAAATATCTAACTTAACATATTGATCAATGGTTGCCCCATTCAAGACACACTGAGGGCAAATTTTTAGGTCATCACCTTGACTGCAACCTTAAATTTCATACCCACATCCAGCACAAAGCCAAGAAAGTCTTCAAAACAGTATGCATCCTCTCCAAGATACTGTACTATGTACCCCAGGCGGTCCTACTTACACTATACCACTCTCTTACCTACCCTTACACAACCATGGTATTCATGCTAGGGGATCTACTACGACAAATCACATTAAACCATTAATAATCCAACAAAAAGCTGGTATGTGGATGATCACCTACTTCTGTGCCAGACAACACATCCCTCCACTCTTCAAGAGTTTGAACTTAATATGCAAAATATGAAATGTTGGTGGCCGGTGACCTGGTAGGCAATGCTCTCGCCTCACACACAGTGTCCGTAGTTCACTGTCTGGCAAGGATGGAAACATTGGACGTATTTCCTTACTGCCTCCCAGCATACAAAAGGGGGATTACCAATAGACTCCTGGCTGTCTTCAAGCAGGCACTGGACAGGCACCTAAAGTCAGTACCTAACCAGCCGGGCTGTGGTTAGTACGTCGGGTTGTGTGCAGCCAACAGTAACAGCCTGGTTGACCAGGCCTTGATCCACCATGAGGCCTGGTCACAGACCGGGCCGCAGGGGCGTTGACCTCTGGAACCCTCTCCAGGTATACACCTGCTGTCCCTGTTCACCTAACAGTAAATAGGTACCTGGGTGTTAATCGACTGGTGTGGGTGGCATCCTGGGGACAAGACTGAAGGACCACATTGGAAATAAGAGAGTCCTCGATGACGCACTGACTTTCTAGGGTTATCCTGGATGGCTAACCCTCCGGAATTAAAAATCCAAACTTATCATTCCCATAATTATCCTACAAGCGGTATCGCAAAAAAAAAAAAAAAAAAAAAAAAAAAAGATCTCCGGGAGCCGGAATGAAGGATTCAATACAACTCAAGCTGTATTGATCCCTTAATAACTCAAACAAGAAATGAACCCCACCGGACACCGAAAGACAGGGCTCGATACGGCGTAAGCTGTCACTGGCCCTTTGAACCCCAACAATAACAATAGCAGAAAGAAGAGAACCCTAGACCAGCCAGTGACAATAGTCATCACTGAACCAAGACAACAGTGACAACAGTCATCACTGAACCAAGACAACAGTGACAACAGTCATCACTGAACCAAGACAACAGTCATCACTGAACCAAGGCAACAGTGACAATAGTCATCACTGAACCAACATGACAGTGACAATAGTCATCACTGAACCAACACAACAGTGACAACAGTCATCAGTGAACCAACACAACAGTGACAACAGTCGTCACTGAACCAAGACAACAGTGACAATAGTCATCACTGAACCAAGACAACAGTCATCACTGAACCAACACAACAGTGACAACAGTCATCACTGAACCAAGACAACAGTGACAACAGTCATCAGTGAACCAACACAACAGTGACAACAGTCATCACTGAACCAAGACAACAGTGACAATAGTCATCACTGAACCAAGACAACAGTGACAATAGTCATCACTGAACCAATGCAACAGTGACATTAGTCATCACTGAACCAACGCAACAGTGACAATAGTCATCACTGAACCAACACAACAGTGACAACAGTCATCACTAAACCAAGACAAGAGTGACAACAGCCATCAGTGAACCAAGACAACAGTGACAACAGTCATCACTGAACCAACATCAGTGACAACAGTGATGGTAGAACCAGGAAGCTCCACGTAAATTTCCCGTATCCAGGAGAGGAGCTCTAGATCCATGGAATTGACTCGCCCTCTCCTTCCTTGGATCAAACATAAACTTATCCGATGCATGACACAGTGAGGACAATATAAAATCATGTTCACTTCCATTACAATATTTTTCTTGAATCGTTAAAAATTTTACATAAGGTAGTGTTTGTATTTTTTTTCTTTAATACATATTTGGTGATTATGAAGGAAATTTGAGCATCCTCGCCCATTCTCAGATTAATTGTGATCCTCGAGGCTTGATTTAACTCTATTTTCGTATCAAGGCATATCGGTAAACCACCGATTTAACTTCAGAAATGCAAGACGGAATCGGCTGGTTCGATTGAATTTTGAACGGCAGGCAAAGTCCATTATTTACAGAATTGTCCCCTCAAGGAAGGCTCCTTGACGCTGGTGAGGGGCTCTTGATCTAGGGAATTGGATCTGTGCTCCAGTTCCCTGAATTAAGCCTGAATGCCTTCCATCCCCCCATAGGCGCTGTATAATCCTACGGGTTTAGTGCTTCCCCCTTGATTATAATAATAAATACAGAATTGTCAAGCGCTGTGTGGCCCTTGTTGGTTTAGTGCTTAGTTTTGATTGTAGCAACAGTAATAATGCAGAATTGTCAGTTATTGGGGTTATCACGGTGAAACATTGTCATCTCTGCCCACTATCATTATTATTATGGGGGAGTGCTAAACCTGTAGGGATTATACAGCGACTGTTCCAGTTCCCTGTGATCCAGGTTACTGGAGCACAGATCCAATTCCCTAGATCAAGAGCCCCTCACCAGCATCAAGGAACCAGCCTTAAGTGGATCTTTACCCACTAAAATTGCCTTTTCTAATTACCTGCTTCCCCTCATTAATCAGTTTATTAATAACAATGTGCAGTTTTGTAGGCGTGAATAAAATTTAATTGGCTAATTCTGGCTACCACTTTCAGCTTTTCTAATTTGTGTAGTTCATCCTAACTTGTTCTTCAATGGACAACATGACTCCCACCCAAACCTAACTTAAATATTATCACTAATCTGTTGTAAATACCATAGACTGTATAAAACCCATTTAACACTTCCCCTGATGATAATAATAATAATAATAATAATAATAATAATAATAATAATAATAGAGCCTCTTCTCACTTAGCGACATACTCGTTTACGATATGGGCTTACGACAGGCTCTCTGACCAGTATGCATACCTAAATAATGTATATTAGAGCTGATTTCCTTTATTCTGTTTATTTGAATGTACAGTACACTACTGTATAAACATTTAAAAATATACCATAAATGTTATAAATGGTGCAAAGGTGACATTAAAACAGTGTCAGAAATGGTTGACACAAACCCACTACCATTATAGTATACTCCTCACGTAGCGATGAATTTGTTTACCTATGTGGTCTTAGGAACGGAACTCCATCATTCAGTGAGGAGAGGCTGTAATAACAATAATAGTAATAGTAATAATAATAATAGTGTTGTCTTACAGGTGCTACTCTTTAACTGTATGAGAGCGTCATCACAACTCATCATCATCTGGGAAATTGTGGCAGTTGCCGACAAGTAGTAATAAAGATGAGAAAACAGAAGGTCCTTTATTGACAGTAAAGGTACATGTTTTATTCACATGTATATTTGTTAATCACTTGTCCTCACATTCTTATGAGGCTTGCATTCCCTATCAGTGTATTATATTTTGTCCATTGTATCTAACCAGGGCATGTTCAGTGTTCAACTTATTTACAGTACAGCTTCCCCCTGTATCCACGGGTTGTGTTCCAAGACCTACCGTGGATGCTCGAAACCTCAGATAGCAGTGAACCCTACGTATAAGTCATTTTTCATTTATGTACAAACCTATGATAAAGCTTAATTGATATATTACACACTGATGATATATTACACATTGATATATTACACACTGATGGGAAGCACTTCACTGCTTCTCATAGGTTTTGAAGAACTGTCAGCATCACTACTTTTGTGCTTTGGTGTCATTAAGCAAATTTAATGGTTATTTTCAGGCCATGGTAAACCATGGATAACCGAAACTGTGGAAACCAAATCCGTGAATATTGGGGTTCGACTGTATTTTATTCACATTGTTTTATTCATGTGCAGTTTAAGGCTGTGATTTGCTTTACGGTGGCAGTCTAGAACCTAACCCTCTGTATTAGTGAGGTGGCCCTGTACTGTATGTGTACTTAATACTAATCATAGTGTATGTAAATTTCAGCTTTACTTGAGAATTCACGATGAATATTTTGTGCACATTATAAATACAATACTTAGAACTATAACTTAAAAGTAATTGACATAATAAAGTTTTCTTTTAGTAAATATTGTCTTTATAAAAACTAGCTTTGATTTTTTTTTTTTTTTGGTATTTTCCGTAATTATCAGTACTCGTGAAATCGTCGTAACATGATTGCAAACAAATTGCAGAGTTTTAGGACTCACTTGCCATGGGTTCAAGTCTCACCTGTTCCATGGTTCGTAATTGTCAGCTTCCTACCTTCCAAACAGCACTGCTTTCTGAGATGGGGCAAAAACTTTATGTAGCCTTTTCTGCAAGAGTAAATTATTCTGCTTTTAAAAAATAATGCAGTAGAACCCCCGTATCCATTGATTTGGTATCCACAGTTTCAGTTATCCATGGTTTACTGAGACCTAAAAATACCTCTTAATTTTGCATAATAATGGCCCCAAAGTGTAAAAGTAAGGAAACTTTTATATCAATATGCAATAATGAACATTAAAATGTACTCTTCCATAACCTGTGTCAATATAGAATATTCAGTAAGAATTAGGATTAGTCTGCCCGAAATGCCTAGGCATGCCAGTGGCTTTCTTTGATATTAACCCGTAAACGGTCCAAACGTATATATACGTTTTTTCAACATTTGAAAGTATGTAAAAAAAGTAGATCTTCTTTTTGTTTTTTTACATTTGAAAATGTGTAAAAAAACTTTGATCTACTTTTTTTTTGTTATATTTGAAAATATGTAAAAAAAACGTAGATCTACTTTTGTAGCACAACACATGTGAACGTAGATCTGCTTGGACCGTTTACGGGTTAATGTTTTGTAATATGTAAACCACATATTGTAAGCTTTGCAAGGAAATAAACATTTTCATTTTCAGTTTCAAACACTTCTTCAAAGCGTAAGGGAAGCCAGGAAGCGCTTCCCATCAGTGAAAAAGTGATAATTCTCCACTTATTGTGTATAATATATCAGTTAAACTTTATAATATGAACAGGACTTATATGTAGGGTTTGCTACTATCCTCAGTTATGGTATCCAAGGAAGGTCCTTGGAACATATCCCTGCAGATACGGAGGTCCTACTTTACATTATGCTCTTTTATAAAGCTGTTTTATTTAAGTGCAGCTTTTTGTGAATGCAATTGAAAAGTGCACCTACCATCCGACTTACAACCGAGTTCGGTTCCGAGAAACCAGTCGTAAGTCGAACTTTACTACTGAATATCAACATAACATTTTTGCAATGACTTTATTTTATTGTTTTATTTTGGTATTTCCTGTTTTACTTTACTTTTTATATTCTTAGTACTATATTTTATACTGTAAGGTTTAGGATAAACACTGTGTACAACACAAATACTTGTTTATTTCCCAGAAATTTGGCATAAAAAACGCGGTCGTAAGTCGAGTCGTTGTAAGTCGAGCAAGTCGTAAGTCGGATGGTAGGTGTACTTCCAAAATTGAATAGTACATATTATGAAAGCCTTAATAGTGCTTTTCAATTTTGGATGCACTTTTTCAGTCGCATTCACAAAAAATCAAGCTAAATAGAAGATATTCATGAAAGCGCTGACTGGAAAAAAAAGGTGGAAACAATATGAAGAGTTTAGTTTCTATGCTTTAATAAATACTTTACTTATTAGTGTTAGCTCTTCACTACCCATCTATTTATGTGCAAGAAATATGGAAGTGCCATATTTGGAAGGAGTATTGTAGGTTACGTATTTAATTTTAACAAATGAAATGAAAAATCTCTCTCATTGGATAGTGATATAAAATATATCATATCCTTTGCAAAATTTATGCTAGAACAGAACTTTTGCCTGAAATGCAATGTTTCTAATTTTTTAAAATTTTTCAGATAGATGCTCAGTATGACAGACTGTAGAAATTTTACGATTGAAGAAAGACTTACTGCTAATGTGTGGATTCATAGTTGTGAGAGAGGGTAGATAATATAAATAGTAGACCCAAAAGCTGCAGACATCAGAAGGAAGAGTCTTTTTTAAATGGAAGCGGTAAGATAAAGATAGAGTTTATCTCTTTGTAAAGGTTACAATGAGTAATTACAGTTTTGGTTTGCTAAGTACAAAGAAAGCCACTCTCATGCCGGGGCATTTCGGGCAGACTAATCCTAGTACATAACAACTTAATTCTAGACAAGACAAGAGTAGTTAACTTTTATTAAAATCTTTATTTAACCTTAATACTAATGCAAGGTAGTCAAGATGGAGGTTTATAAGAATAATAATCTTGAAGTTGCACATAATAAAAATAATATTACAAATAATGGTTCAAATAGTAATATTTCATGGATTGGCAGATGTTTAATAGACTTAGAGATGACTCTCAAAATCGTAATGACACGATTGCAAACAAACCATACCACGGGCGGGGATAGTACCCGTGATCAGAGAGTCTCAAAACTCCAGACCGTCGCATTAGCCACTGGGCCAGCTAGCCACCTTCCTATGGTGTAGAAATATACCTAATTGGATGAATCTTATTGTGGCTAGCTGGCCCAGTGGCTAAACGCGACGGTCTGGAGTTTTGAGACTCTCTGATCACGGGTACTATCCCCGCCTGTGGTATGGTTAGATTTAGAGGTCATATAATATAATGTTTGGGAGTTGCTTCAACTGATTAGAAGTTGTTTTAGTTGGTTTGGTTAGTATTAAGAGATGAGATGATTTTTAAGCAAAGTCTTAAATTTATAAGTAGTCAGGGGATCCATTACCGGTTCAGGTAGTGAATTCCAGATCTTTGGGCTCTTTAAGTGCATTGCATTTTTATGTAGTGTTAGACTGACATGAGGGATGCTGAACAGTGCCTTATGCCTTGTGTTGTGACTGTGCATTCTGTTGCACCTATCAAGGAGAAATTGAAGTGGAAGGTTTATATTGAAATTTAATGTTTTGTATGTGTAGTAGGCACAATAATATGAATGTATGTCTTGTATATTTAGTAAGTTCAGGCTTTTGAAAAGTGGTAGAGTGTGTTGTCTAGCACAGGAGCTGGTAATCATCCACACAGCAGCTTTCTGTTGAGTTATTAAAGGTTTAAGGTGGTTGGGTGTGGTTGATCCCCAGGCACAAATACCGTAAGTGAGGTAGGGATATATTAAAGAGTAGTATAGAGTAAGGAGTGTCATTTGAGGTACATAGTATCGTATCTTGGAAAGGATGCCTACTGATTTGAAAATTTACTTGGAAATATTCTGGATGTGGGAATGAAATTTAAGATTACAGTCAAGGAGAAGACCTAGAAGTTTACCCGCAGTGTGTCTTGTAATAGGGGAGCCATTTATTGATATATTAAGTTGGATATTTAAGGCTCTTTTTCCAAACAGCATGAAGTATGTTTTGTCTGTGTTGAGAGTGAGTTTATTGGTCATCATCCAAGTATGTATTTTTAGTATATATGTCATCATCTGGCATCACATTAAAATCCTCTGGCATCCTGCCTAAGATTGCTACAGAAATTAATCCTCAAACAGTCATCAGAAAGATTAAATATCTCTCTATTGTAGCTGGAATAATTTGCAGCTGGAACAATTTGGAGAGAAAACTTCATATAATGCTCTGTTTTGTCCTGGATTATAGGCAAGTCATGCTTTGATACTGGCATTCTTTGTTCAGCATTGCAAAAAATAATTGTAAGGGATTTAGGATTAAATCCCTCTAAGCCTGAATGCTTCAGTGAACTCTGAGAAAGGGACTCAGAACACTGTAGGACACCATGCAGATGTGCTGTCAACCTTCTTCAAAGGTATTTTTTACAGTATATATTAATGTATGAATCAACTACAGATGCTCCTCGCTTATGATGGTTCGACTTACAATATTTCGACTTTATGATGGTGCGATAATGGCCGACCGGTCTGAGAATTTTGGAAAGATTTTAACTTGTATTTACTTATTTGCTTTTCAATACTGGTATTTAGTTAAAGTAATTATTTGTTTATTTACTTATTTAGTGATATTTATTTATTTATTTATCATACCATATTCTTATTCATAAGAACGTAAGGAAGTAGGAACACTTCAGCAGGCCTACTGGCCCATGCAAGGCAGGTCCAAGTCACCTCTTGGCTTAAACCAATGACCCACCTAGTTGGGTCACATCCACTTATGGAAAGGGCACGGCATCAGACCTATGAGCACAAGCTAGTCTGGTCTAGCTCACATGCACCCACACCCGCTCATGTATTTATCTAACCTATTTTTAAAACTACACAACATCTTAGCTTCTATGACAGTACTTGGGAGTTTGTTCCACTCATCCACAACTCTGTTACCAAACCAGTGCTTTGCTATATCCTTCCTGAATCTGAATTTTTCCAACGTAAAACCATTGCTGCGAGTCCTGTCTTGGCTAGATATTTTTAGCATGCTATTTATATTCCCTTTATTTATTCCTGTTTTCCATTTATACACCTCACTCATATCCTCCTAATTCTATTCCTTTCTAGAGAGTGCAGATTCATGGCCTTCAGTCTGTCTTCATAGGGAAGATTTCTGATACATTGATCAACTTTGTCATCCTCCTTTGTATGTTTTCCAGTGCATTTAAATCCATTCTGTAATATGGTGACCAGAACTGTGTAGCATAATCTAAATGAGGCCTAACCAAGGATATATAGAGTTGAAGAACAACCTGAGGACTCCTATTATTTATGCTCCTTGATATGAAACCAAGGATTCTGTTAGCTTTTTTGTGAACACTTATGCACTGTTGTCTTGGTTTTAAATTACTGCTAACCAGAACTCCCAGATCCTTTTTGCAATAAGTAATATTAAGATCTACATTATTTAGTTTATATATGGACATTATTTAGTTTATATGTAGACATTATTTAGTTTATATTTAGTTTATATTCAACTTATGATATTTTCACTTAACAATGGGTTCATCAAAACATAACCCCATTGTAAATCGAGGAGCACCTTAATAAGGGGGTATTATTATCATGGCTTTATTAGTCCAACGTAGAGAATAATGCTGTAGGAAGTAGAAGGCATGAAGAAGTGGTTTTAAATGAACAATCTGAAAGACTGAATCTGTTGGAGACAGATTTATCTATGCTGCTATGTATGATAATCTATGTAACTGTATTTGTGTATACCTGAATAAACTTACTAGAGGTTTATTTTTTGTATTGTTGTAGTCACAGTATTTTTTTTATTAACACATTGGCCATTTCCCACCAGACGAGGTGACCTGAAGAAGAAGAAATGCTTTCATCATCATTCACTCCATCACTGTCTTGCCAGAGGTGCACATACACTACAGTTATTAAACTACAACGTATCAACACCCCTCCTTCAGGGCGCAGGCACTGTACTTCCCACCTACAGGGCTCAAGCCCGGCTTGCTGGTTTCCCTAAATCCCTTGATAAATGTTACCTTGCTCACACTCCAATAGTACGTCAAGTCATAAAGACCATTTGTCTCTACTCGCTACTACCTAACACACTCACGAATGCTTGCTGAAAGTCCAAGTCCCTCGCACACAAAACCTTTACCCCTTCCTCCAGCTTTTCCTAGGCTTGTACAGCACTGTACAATGCAGTACAGTACTGTACAGTATAGTTTAGTGCAGTACTGTACTGTACCATACTGTACAGCACAGTACAGTATGGTACAGTACACTACACATAATGTAGTACTGTACATACAATTTTCATATATTCTACAATTAATACAATAAATGAGTTAAAAGCTCAACTTAGTGGTTTTCACCCATTATTTCAAAAGTTCATTACATTAAAAGTTTACTGTACCTTCAACATCCATAACTTAAGCTTAATTAACAAGTTTCTTTGAATGTCTTCATTGATATTATATTGCTTGTACAGGCAGACCCCACTTATGCAGCAGGTTAGGTTCTGGACTACTGTAGGACCCCACTTATGCAGCAGGTTAGGTTCTGGACTACTGTAGGACCCCACTTATGCAGCAGGTTAGGTTCTGGACTACTGTAGGACCCCACTTATACAGCAGGTTAGGTTCTGGACTACTGTAGGACCCCACTTATACAGCAGGTTAGGTTCTGGACTAGTGTAGGACCCCACTTATACAGCAGGTTAGGTTCTGGACTACTGTAGGACCCCACTTATACAGCAGGTTAGGTTCTGGACTACTGTAGGACCCCATTTATACAGCAGGTTAGGTTCTAGACTACTGTAGGACCCCACTTATGCAGCAGGTTAGGTTCTGGACTACTGCAGGACCCCACTTATACAGCAGGTTAGGTTCTGGACTACTGTAGGACCCCACTTATGCAGCAGGTTAGGTTCTGGACTACTGCAGGACCCCATTTATACAGCAGGTTAGATTCTGGACTACTGCAGGACCCCACTTATACAGCAGGTTAGGTTCTGGACTACTGTAGGACCCCACTTATACAGCAGGTTAGGTTCTGGACTACTGTAGGACCCCACTTATACAGCAGGTTAGGTTCTGGACTACTGCAGGACCCCATTTATACAGCAGGTTAGATTCTGGACTACTGCAGGACCCCACTTATACAGCAGGTTAGGTTCTGGACTACTGTAGGACCCCACTTATACAGCAGGTTAGGTTCTGGACTACTGTAGGACCCCACTTATACAGCAGGTTAGGTTCTGGACTAATGCTGCAAAGCAAAAATAGCTTTAAAATGTTTACACTATTATATAGTAAGTAAGCAACAGAACTAGGCCTAAAAGATGCATATATACAGTACATGCACATTACTTACTTCAAATTATTTTTATCCTTAGCTTATAGTGAGTGGTGAATATAATGATTATAGGAAATCTGAATAAACAAAGAGTGGGTATAATTGAAAACCACTGCACTAGCAAAATGACATAAAGTGAAGCGCTGCAAAGCGGGACCCTCCCGTATTATTACATGTACAGTGGACCCCCGGTTAACGAACTTTTTTCATTCCAGTAGTATGTTCAGGGGCCAGTACTGACCGAATTTTTTCCCATAAGGAATATTGTGAAGTAGATTAGTCCATTTCAGACCCCCAAACATACACGTACAAACGCACTTACATAAATACACTTACATAATTGGTCGCATTTGGAGGTGATCGTTAAGCGGGGGTCCACTGTACTCTGATGTTACATATTCCAATGTTATTTATTGTGATCTAACATGAGTACAAATGCCCTGTGGACATTCAAACCCTCTGAAGAGGGCTGTCTTAGTGCCGGTAGAGCACTTAGTTCGTGGCACTGGGGCTATGCTTTCCTTCCTTGGGTCAAACCTGATTACTTATGATTCCTCAGAACTGTACAACCTTTGTGGGTGTATTACTTGCCTGTGAAAATCATAATTATCAAAACTCAGTCATTCAATTCTTCTTTCACCCTCATTCCAACATTTCCTTGGATCTTCGTATATTAAATTTTCTTATTTGCATTATTAATTAAGATAAATGCTGAATTCCTAAGCTTTTAAATAAGCTTAATGTCACCAGTAATGTTTTGGCCTATTCTGAACCAGTATATATCCATATTCTTATTGCCACAAACATGTGTAAAACAATATATTCTTATTTTCAATACTATCGGTAATCCTCACAATCATTAAAATATTGAATGTGTTGACAGTATGTTAATATGCTAGAATCCTCATTACCTATAGTTATAATTCAACCTGTAATTCTTAAAACAAACTCAATAAAAATCATATAGCATGTACGTACTAATTTTTTTTTTTTTTTTTTTTCAACAAGTCGGCCGTCTCCCACCGAGGCAGGGTGACGTACTAATATGATATTCAATTCTTTTGTATTTGTTGTAACTACTAACTTTATTTTTACAAGTACTTAAGAGATTGTATATGTAAACAATCAATTAGTTATTGCCTTATTAAGCTTAAGATAGGCTTAAAGTTGGCCCAAAATGCTCTGCATATTAAGGGGCTTTCTGCATGCACATCCAAATGTCATTCACATCTGTACAAACATTATATCATGCTGAAGTAAAGAATCTTCAATATTAATTGTCAAGAAACAACTGGACTATTGTGAGTTGTGACTTGACAGTGATACAGGACAGACCGACACATTGTCATAGGGTTCCACTCTTAAGTGCAGGTTACTGGTGAATTGTTCCAGCCATGGTATAGTGATTTTTTAATTCAAAATGCTTACTTTTTTTTTTATTTCTCACTGAAATAAATTAGAAATTACTTTTTCCTATTTTTCAGGTGTGGTGTTTGAGAATCTGACAGGATGAAGAGTTATGCTAACTGAGAATCACCAGACATTTTTCTGTGATAATTCAGTGTCTGATAGTGATATGGAGGACACAGGATTACCAGTAATAAAACAAGATATTGCTGGAGGGGAATGCATTATATTTGTCAAAAATGAAGAGATCGAAGAAGAAATTTTATTCATCAGCTCTGATAAATGCTCAGTTGCTTGTCAGACAGATTCATCTTCCTTTGTCACTCATGTTCGCCCTTCTATTCCCAGTGTTCCTATTTTCTTTTGTGCATTACCTTTGCCTGGTTCAGCGACTACGCAGTGCAACATTCCAGTCTTGGTTGATGTTGGTGTGGGAACAAACTCTTTCCCAGTTGGTTCCAGAACTCATTTTAAGGAGGATTGCGCTGTGGACAACTCAGACGCTCTTTCAGTCCTTGTACAGAGGCCAATCAGTGAGTTTGAGGAAGACAATGTGAAGCCTTTGAAGGTCTTCACTGAAGATAATTCAAGTAAGTTGAATTGGTTAGGTCTTATTAATTCTTGGATAATTATTCATTAGTCAGTAATGTTTTATTTTTAGTTTCCAGGTTTGTCTGTATTGCCTGCTCAGTTATGACAAGTTTGCTAACTTACAGGTTGCAACAACAACAGCCTAAGTAAAACTCACGAAAACTTTCTGCCCTTAGAATATTGCATCATTTAGAAAGACTCACTGACCCTCATCACAAAGTAACCAGTCCCGAGGTCATATTAGATTCCCTTATTTCTTAGTTAACCTCATTTGTTGTGCAAAACCTTAAATTTATTAAACTTTGCATTCCCTAATTTAAAGAGTGGCTTCCCCATCAACTTCTTCAAATTAAGAAGGCCATGGGGCTTCAATACCATGGGGATAGAATTGATGTAGGGAACTCTGCTCTCAACATACTTAACTTGTATGCTCCTGCTGAAAAGTTTAATTGTTCTAACCTTCCATCTTGTGCTCATGCAGAACATATCATTGTTAGTGATTATAATACTAGATACAAAGCATTGGAAATGAAATATTTAGCATTTGTAATGGTTAGCAACTTTTGTCATTCTTAAATAGTCATGATGTGCAGATTGTGGGGGACTTGGAACCTATACACATCTATGGAGGTATGTTTGTTGTACGATATCTCATATGTCTTGGTTTCAACCCTTGCTTTGCCACCTTTGAGTATTTTATTGTAATGTACGTCATCGAACCATTTCCCAAGATTAACTACCATCAGTATTGATAATACTTTCCTTCCTGGTGGAATATTCAAGTGGAAATTCTTTAATGATCTTTCTGACCAGCATGATAATTTTGTCGCTCATGCTACAGATTGGTAAAATTCTTATAAGTGTTCCTTTCTTATAACCTTTAACAATGGCCCTATTAGTAATATTCTAAATTATTTAGGACCACTTGGATTTCAAGTTGCTGTCAAGGTGCAGACCCAGAAATTTTCTCTCATTATTTTTGCAGTAAGAGTATTGTTAATCATGTTTAGATGGACATTACTTGTTCTACTCCAAAACATAGTGTAGAAGGTTTTGACAGTGTTAAGTGAAAGTTTATTGGTAGTCATCCAGGTTGATATTTTCAAGAGCTCTTCATTAATAATGTTCTTTAGTGATGTTGAATTTGGGTGGGAGATGACACAAGTTGTGTCATCAGCAAAGAGAATAGGTCCAAGTTGTTACGATACATTTGGAAGGTCGTTGATGTATAAAATGTAAAGTAGGGGAGCCAAGAACACTACCCTATGGAATGCCAATGTCCAGAGGTCTTGTTGAGGAGGTTGTGTCCTTAATAGAGCTGTATTGCTGTCTGTTAGTAAGATTAGACTTTATGTATGCAAATGCATGAACTCTAATACTGTAATGATCAAATTTGTGAAGTAAGATACTGTGGTCTGCTGTATCAAAAGCTTTCCTTAGGTCAATAAAGAGTCCTAGTGAATATTCATTTTTTGTACTTTTGTTTTTCCAGAAGCCAAGCTGGCAGGGATTGAAAATTCTTTGTGATGTTATGAAGGAGTACAATCTCTTGTGCACGAGTTTCTCGAAGATTTTGGATAGCAAAGGCTAGTTTGATATTGGCCTATAGTTGTTCACAGCTATTGGGTCTCCACCTTTGTGTATAGGAGTAATTCTCACTATCTTGAGCAATGATGGGAAAGTGCTGGTTTCTGGTGATTTGTTAAAAAGTATTGTAATAGTGGGCGAGAGGATGCGAGTATCTCATTTATACAATAATAGTGGAACGTGAGCTAGATTTCCTGATTTGTTTTTTAGCGAATTAATAATCAGGAGTGACTTTAGTGGGCTGAGTTGGAGCAAGATAGAGGAATGTTGGGAAGTTTCCATCTAAGTAATCACTCGCTTGGGTATTGGTGTTTGGAATTTTACTGGCAAGACTTGATCCTGTAGTTGAAAAGAAGTCATTTATCTTGTTAGCTGTTCCAATAGGAGTTGTGGTTTGTTTGGTTTATTATCATAATAAAAATGAAATGCTAAACCTTTGTTTGGTTTAGTTAGGACAAAATCTCTAGTTTTGTTCAGTTTTGGGCTCCCAGGATTTGTGTGTGTGTCTTCCAGGTCTTTTTTTTTTATATTTCCTCTCGTTTCAGTGAATCTATTAGAATAGTACAGTTGCTTGGACTTTATTTGTTTGGCAAGGACTAACATATAGTGTTTACTAAGTTCTTTAGTTATTAAGCCCTGTTAAATATATATATGAAAAATAATATAATCACTGGATCATAGAATGCTGTAGTAAGCCACAGGCAACCTAACCATTTATTAGTTATCTGTTTAGGTTTTATGGGACAATGTTTGTTGTACAGTCTATGCATTTTGTTTAGAAAATTTTCTATCCATTTGTCGATACCATTGGCATTAGAAAATTCTGTAGGCCAGTCAGCTGAACTTAGCACTGCAGTGAAGTTACTCATTGATGCCTCATCATGGTGTCGAAAAGAGATCTTACTTTATTCCACTGGTTGCTTAGAAATGTTTGTTAGGAGGAAGGTGGGGCATAGGTTAGTAGTATTGTCTGTGATTATCCCTGTTCTGACGGGAGCTAGCACAGTGGACTCCCGCATATCGATCAGCTCCCAACTCGACCAATTATGTAAGTGTATTTTTGTAGGTGTATTTTTGGGGGTCTGAAACGGACTAATCTAATTCACAATATCTCTCATGGGCACAAATTCGGTCTATAACGGCACCCAAATAGACTTCTGGATTGAAATAATATCGTTATGTGGGGGTCCTCTGTATATTTGTCCATATGGTCAATTATGGTTGCACTTGTCTCAGTTAACCTTGTTGGTTGAGTTATGGCTGGTATGAGTAGTGAATTGTTCGTACTATTAATGAAATCAGTTACTGGTTGGTCATGTGCTATACCAAAGTTAATGTGGAAGCCTCCAGCTAGTAGTAAGTGGTGCTTTTTCATATGTTTATTTATTAGTGTTTTTAGGTTATCACTAAAATTTGGGAAATTAGTACGAGGTATCTTGTACGTAGCGCCAACTGTAACAGGAGTCCTACGGTTATTAACAGAGAAGTTGGCCAATATATATTCATCATCGAAGCATGTGGTGTTACAACATAATAGTTTATTGGAATAGTAGATGCCAATACCCCCTCCCATTTGATCTGGTAGTGTGTAGATGTCTGTTGTGTCTTGCTTCAGCCAGGTTTCAGTAAGAATAATACAGGAGAATGTTGTATTTAAGGAATCTAGGAGTGCTTACTTGGGAACTAATGTTGTATTTGAAATTGTTATATTCTGGCATTACTGATTCCATTCTCCTTATATCCCATCTACTTTTTAGTCCCATACTAGCTACAACAAAATGATCTGATATATCTGTGGCCCCCTCTATTAATGTGCACATCCTGAAGTCTACCCACTAGTCTTATCTACCAGTACATAGTCCAACAAACTACTGTCATTATGCCCTATATACAGTGAACACCCGGTTTACGATATTTCATTCCAGAAGTATGTTCAGGTGCCAGTACTGACCGAATTTGTTCCCATAAGGAATATTGTGAATTAGATTAGTCCATTTCAGACCCCCAAACATACACATACAAATGCACTTACATAATTGGTCGCATTGGGAGGTGATTGTAAACCGGGGGTCCACTGTATCTCATATATACCGATTTTTTTTTTCTAAAAGTGCATGAGTATGCCTCATATTTTACGAGGGCTGATTTTAGTGTTTTGGTGTGTAAACAAACCGAGGACTATTAATTGACTTAGGATAGATAGGATTAAATTAAACCATTTTTTAGTTTGCTAGTTTAATTTTTTATAGTTTTACTTAAATAATCTTGTTATGCACCCCACATCCATCCTGGGGTGGTAGCCAAAAGAATACAGAGGCATGTAATGGACCCCAGTATTCTGATGGCCAAGCGAACGACAATGATAATGAACTCTATGTTAGGTAAATGACAAGTGCAACTAATGAGACATTTTATCGTGTCAACATTTCACCCTGGAGCACAAAACATTGCTGCAATAAAATGTCCTTTTACCTTACATATTGCTAATAATTCCTAGGTAGTAGTTTGGTAGATAGCAACCGCCCAGGGAGGTACTACTGTCCTGCCAAGCGAGTGTAAAACTGAAACCTGTAATTGTAGGATTGCTGGTCTCTCTTTTCTCTCTCGTAAACATGCAAGATTTCAGGTATGTCTTGCTACTTCTTCTTACACTTAGGTCATGCTACACATACATGTACAAGCATATATATACACACCCCTCTGGGTTTTCTTCTATTTTCTTTCTAGTTCTTGTTTATTTCCTCTTATCTCCACGGGGAAGTGAACAGAATTCTTTCTCTGTAAGCCATGCGTGTCGTAAGAGGCGACTAAAATGCCGGGAGCAAGGGGCTAGTAACCCCTTCTCCTGTACCAATTACTAAATTTAAAAAGAAAAACTTTAGTTTTTCTTTTTGGGCCACCCTGCCTTGGTGGGATACGGCCGCTTTGTTGAGAAAAAAAAAATTGCTAATTCTTCCAACATTATTACAATAAACTATTCACAGATTTTTGATCTTGAAACACTTGTAAATAGTTGTTTATGTTGACATTAATTTAATCATGAAAAAAATAATTGCAGTGCAGTTTGTGTGGTTATAAGTTGCTCATAAAACATTTTATTATATATAACAGGCACAGTCAAGATATTTTTTTCCAGAATGGCTGGTTATATGCCACTGGATCAAATACTTTGACATTTCATGAGCATTTATGAATAATTTGTTTCTAATTTCATCAGTTTTTGTATTTCCAGCACAATTTGTCTTTTTCATTTACATACTTACCTATTATAAAGGTTAATTGATAAATTCTGCACAATAAGTGGTGAATTATCACTTTCACTGATGGGAAGAACTTCACCACTTCTCTTGGGTTTTGAAGAACTTTCACCATTGCTACTTTTGCACTTTGAGGCCTTTATTAAGCAAAAAATAAAGCTTATTTTTGGGCCACGGTAAACTTTGGATACCGAATACAAGGGGTCCTACTGTGTAGCAACGATGATAATAGGGTCTGACTGAGCAAAACATAGGTCTATGTGATTTAACCCTTTGACTGTCGCAACCCCCAATCCTGAGGTGTCTCCTGGTGTCGCAAAATTTCAAAAAAAAAAAAAAACTTATTTTTTTTATGAAATGATAGAGAATCTTTTCCCGATTGTAATGACACCAAAAAAAACGAAATTTGATGGAAAACTGACGGAATTATGCTCTCGCGAAGTTAGCGACCTCGGCGATATTTACAAATCGGCGATTTCTCCCACTTTGAGCTCTATTTTCGGCTAATTCCATTGTTCCAGTCGACCAAACTCATAGCTATTTCTTTAGAACTCCATTTTTTCTATCGATTGAGTACAAGAAACTGCCTATTTACCGATTTCACTTACCCAATAATGTGGTCAGAAATTTGCAATTTGGCCAATTTCACGAAAATTAAAAAATATGACAATTTCAAAATAAGGTCCAGAATGAACAATGCAGACATTCCTGGCACTAAAATAACATTTTCTTTGCTCATCAGTCATGTCTCCAGGCCCCTCTGATATTACTCTTGCTTTCTATTTTGAATTTTTATTCAAACAAAAAAATAGAAGACTTACTATTATGCAGACTACTGCAATACTGTAATAATTGTATAAATAACATCAACCCATTCATGACTGCATATTAGAATGGCTAGTTGGACATTTATTGGACAATGACATCATTTGTTTACTTTTGAACATTGGCAAAAATCAAACATTTCCCATACTTTGAGCTCCATTTCCAGGTTCTTTTTATAGTAAAATCAATCAAAATCACCTCTATTTCTATAATATGTTTTCCATTCTATCAAATGAGACCAAGAAAATGAGAATACAACCATAAATACTATACGAAAATAGACCACAAAGTCGGCATTTTAATTAAAAAAATGGTCGGAGTTTTTTTTTTTCTCATTATGCACTGCGTGCTCCAGGATTTTTTTTATATGGTGCACACTGACCACACAGACCCATTCTCTCACATGTGGGCCTACCAGCTTTCTCCTGCTTGATTTGAAGCCGCTAGAATTTATGAGTATATATACGTCAAACACTGTACCTCGTAAGACGTATATATACGGCCGCGACAGTCAAAGGGTTAATGAGTAAGCAGGAGCATGCAAATTACGTCGAGTGTAGATTTTCCTATCTGCACCCTCACCTGTTTGTATTGAATTCACTCTGTCTTAAGTTGGAGAAACGGTTTCTTAGTACGAAGAATGCAAATGTTAGTAGATTTGACATATTCAACAATAATGTAACTGGAACAAAACACACAACCCACACATAGGAGAGAGAAACTTATGACGATGTTTCCATCCGACTTGGACCATTTACAAAGTCGGACTGTGATTTTGTAAATGGTCCAAGTCAAACCGAAACGTCGTTGTAAGCTTCCCTCTCTGATTTGTGCATTATTATTAGTAGTCATAACTAAGCTAAACCTACAAGGGTTTATGTTCAAAAAATGATGGTAATATTGGGGTGGAAATCTTACAGGGTTCTACACTCTTAGACTAAAATTGATTGGTTCACTGGTTATTGTATGAAGGTCAGGAAGTATTTTTCTAAGTGATGCAATATTCCAATTAAAGTTCACACAACTTTTGCTCTATTATGGAAGTTCTGTGGTAGACGAGTAGAAAAAGATACACGTGCAACATCTGGGTATCTTTATTGATGGAAACATCATGTGATGAGTGGGTTTTTCTACCCAATACAGAGAATAAATTCTGGATATGGGGGAAGTAACTGGGCCCTTTGGTTTATGCACTGGCCTGGAGTTTCACTACTTGCTCGCCATGGGTTCAAATCCCACCCGTTCTGTAGTTTACGATAGTGTTATTACAATTTTACACGTCATGGAGAGGTAGTTTTGAGATGATCAGTTATACAGCCTTGATTTAGCAAGTGCAGTGGACTAAACACCTATCAAGGCTAAGGGACTAATCGTCTTAGAATTCCTCCCCACTTCATTCACTGTCCTGTATTTATTTTCTGTATATATTAGGCTTAAAAATCCACTGGTTAGCAAATTATCTATCAGCAAAGATACCGAGATGTTGCCCATGTGTCTTATTAATCTTGTTAGTACTGCATACAATTAAATGCCATTCCAGGAATCATTACATTAAGTTACTTAGCCTAAAATTTTTTTTTTTTTTTTTTATGTTTCCTGCGCTAAGTAATTCCTTAGTTCATTTTCATGTTTAGGGAAGCAAAAAAAAGCCTTTGTCTAAAACAGATAGGTTCAAAAACACGGCTTAAAAATTTTTTTACACTACCTGCGGTAGTTTAAATGTAATAACTTGTTCTCTCTTAAGTGGCAATAAATCTGGCTCTCATCCTTGCTGCTACCCTTCCATCAGTACCTTCACATCTCCCTACAGTCTCCTGTGTCGTGTTATACAATGATCTTTAAGTCACAATAAATAACAATAACAAGTTTATCTTAGCGTGATACATGTTTGTACAAAGAAGAATAATTTGGTGAACATGCCAAAAGCCCCCTTTATATGTAGATCACTTCGGGCATGCTTAAGATTAATAAGGCAATAACATTGCAGTAATTTTACACATGGTCATTAGGCGAGTTACAATGAATACAAGAAAAATAATCCTCACTTTGAGGAAATGTATGTGAATGTAATTATTTCTGTATATCTCTCCTGACAAGTGAAGGAAACCGATGACATTTCGGTCCTTCCTGGACTGAAATATCATAAGTTCTCTATCCCTAGTGCAGAGTATTTGTTCCAGTCATGGTATTGCTACGTTTTATTCTGTCTCGACACTTGAGAGTTTCCCGGCTCGAGGAATATAATAGAGAAAATCTCACTCCAAAACTTGTTGATAGCATCTTGCCCACTGTCATTTGCTCTCCTTCACCACTCTTAACCCTCTCTCGTATCACTTCTGCATTGTAAATTATTATTATTATAATCAAGGGGGAAGCGCTAAACCCGGAGGATTATACACCGCCTGGGAGGGGGGATGTGGAAGGCATTCAGGCTTAATTCGGGGAACTGGAGCTCAGATCCAATTCCCTAAATCAAGAGCCCCTCACCAACATCAAGGAACCTTCCTTGAGGGGTCTGCATTGTAAAAGCATCTCATTTTCTACATTTTACATCATTATTATTATCAAAATGATCTAAATTTTACAAATATTTTAAAGCTTTATTTTATGCTTTGTTTATACAAGTGTGTTCATTTTCATTATACAATTCTTTTACATTAAGAAGTTTTTCTGCTAGAAAGAGATGTCTGTCATAAATGTTGTGTTACTGTATCTACCATCTTATTCTTGCTTTTTAAATATCTAAGTTTAATATATTTTAATTGCTGCAGAGGCTGCTGTACCATCACTGGGAAGACGAGAGGCACACTCAAGGAAGGAAACCGAGACAAAAAATGTAATCAAAGTCATCCCTGAATCCACCAGCAAACCATCATTAGATAATGTAATGGAGACACCAAATACAGATCAAGCTAAGAAAAAGAGAGGAAGAAAAAAGAAAATCATTTGTGGCAGCGAGACGGATAAAGAAAAACCAGTTGAACATTCATCAGTAGGACCTGATATGAAAATTTCAGGGAGGAGAACGAGGAGGAAAAAGCGAGATGCAGATTTTGAGTACGACCTCGACAGTAATATAGACATAAATGTTAAGGTGGAATTTGACAACTATGATGGAGATGGAGACTGGAAAATTGATCCCAATGATGCTAGTGATGATGAAACAGTGAAAGGTAAAAAGTTAAGTAAATTTGGGAACAGTGATATGAACACAATTCCTCTGTCACAAATCAAGGAGGAAAGTCCAGAAGATATAAATTATAAGAATTTAATTGATGCTGTTGCACAGGAATGCGATGACAGCAGCGATAATGAGGATGATGGGAAAGAAGACTCAGATGAAGGTGCATGCAATATCTCTGGTGACAGTGCAAAGAATTTTGATAGCAGCAAAGTTCTTACCGTTGGTATTTGTGACCTAGCACTAGAAAATAGCTTTCAGTTATCAAAACACCTTAAAAAATATTCAGAGAAAGCAAAAGAAAAGTATCATCAAGAAAAAGTAGTAAAAGCAGATGGAAAATGCAGGTACAAGTGTTTGAAGTGCAACGATGAGTTTGATTTGCGCTTGCAACTTAATGAACACAGAAAAGTACACACAACGAAAGTTAGAGTGTATGAATGCAGTCACTGTGATAAAGTATTTACTGAAGCACGTAAATATTATTCCCATCTGGGTTTCCACGACCGCCTTTTTGAGTGCCGGTCTTGTGGACGGAGATTCTCCTTACTACGTAATTTAAAGAAGCATCTTACCATTCACCAAGGTGTACCAGATCAGATATGTGAAGTGTGTGGCAATCAGTTCTCGACCCCAGATCAGTTAAAGTCACACCACGAAACACAACACAACAATGATAATATTCGTACCTACAAAATTGAATGCATACATTGTAACAAAAGATACGTTAGGGAAGAGGCGTTTAACCAGCATTTGAGTAAAGCACCATATAACTGTTCATTATGTGATGCTTCACTGGGTTGCGAGTTTAAACTGAAAACTCACGTGAGATACCAGCATGGTCAGTGCGTTTGTGAATTCTGTGGGAAATCTTTTAAAAAGAATTCGCTTATACATCATATTAATGTAGTGCATAAAGAAGCATGTGTTAAATGTCCTCACTGCCCTAAGAAATTTGCTTATCGTTCAAAAATGTTAGCGCACCTTGATGCAAACCACACACTCGAAAAAAAATATAAATGTAATCATTGCAATTATGCCGCCCGTACTGTTAACACCTTGAATCTTCACCGCCGTAGGTTTCACACAGATCCCAATAAACTTCGCCGTCACGGTTGCAAAATCTGTGGGCGTAAATTTCTTCTTCCTTCCAAGCTTACCCTTCATTTTCGAACTCATACTGGAGAGAAACCATTCAAGTGTCAGAACTGTGGCAAAGCATTTGCCTCGAAGTACAACATGATAGAACATGAAAAATGTGTTCATGGTGAACGAGTACAATTAAAGCATCCAGATGGTAGCACCACCGTACGGGTAGTTAAGCACCGCCGTGCACCACGTGCCCCTGGCAGACGTTGTGACTTGTGTGGTGTTGATTTACCGTCGTCCTCTACTGTGCGGCAACACATGAGGGAAGAACATGATGCTCAGTATTTACCAGATGATTCCTCAGAATTTGGAAAAGATAACATGAAATTAGTGTCATTTCATGATGCCGAAAATAATACACACACATATCCAGCGAAAAGTGAAAACTACGAGGAGATAGAAGGCTGTGATCAAAATCTAATATTGACTGCCCCAACTGGGTTGGTTAATGTCCATGCAGATTCTATCCCCGAGTACGCCACGCATGTGGAGATTGATGGTGTAGAGTATCAGGTTGTTCGGCAATGATGTAAATTCTGTAAAACAATAAACTGTAAATCTTGTGATAATCAAATATTGAACCCCCCTTCCTTTAGAGATGGGAATTTTGTTTTTTGCAATTTGAAAATTAAAATGAATTTTATTTCCAAAAGAATATGTGGTTACAAAAGAAAAAACTATATAGCTAAAACTGTAATAAGTAGAAAGCCACCAATTATGCAGAGCATTTTAGACATTTTTACTTTGTCTAATTTATTTTATAGTTCTGTATATTAATTTTATATAATAAATGGCCATAATTCACTCATCTTAAAACTGCATCTAAAATAATTCTTTACACAGCTTTTATTATTATTATTATTATTATTATTATTATTATTATTATTATTATTATTATTGTAATCATAACTAAGCGCTGAATACATCTCTTATATAATTTCATATTTATGGATTTTTTATAATGATTAAAAGGGGTTATACTGAATGTGGCTTGACTCAAGGAACTGGAGCAAAGGTCCAATTCCTTGGATCAAGAGCCCAGCATCAAGGAACCTCTCTTGAGGGGCATCAAAATGTTCAATAATGCCACAGTATTGAACATCTCACATGAGTTTAGTTTTTTTTGTGACTATAACAGCAGTAGCAACTTTATAACCATATAGGTTAAGCTCTTATTTTTGAATATAGACCATTATGTGGTACCTTTGGGGACGACCCCTCAAGTAGGATTTCATAATGCCATTGCTCCAAGGAGTTAAATCTGACCTCTCCTTCCTTGGATCAAACTCAATTGCTTCCCATCCTCCCAGGTGTTGTATGACCCTTACAGGTTTAGTGTGTGGTTGTCCCACTCACCTAGCAAGCAATTAGGTACCTGGGTGTTAGTCATAATGTCTCTGTATACAAACTTCTCGCACATTTTGAAAATTAACTTCAGTATGAAATGATCTTTAAATTCATGCAAAATTTCTCAACTCGGAAAACAAATTCAAGCTATTACGGCAAGAAAATATTCTGTAATATTAAGCAAAATAATTCTAAAATGCACACTGCAAAATCCACATATTTTTTTACTATAAATTAAATCTCTCTCATCTATTACAAGATGAAATTCATAATAATTTGAATATCCCTAAAACAAATTAGTCCAAAGAAAAAACTTCCTGGATTACATATAAAGATTGTTCATTATTTTTCTAAACTGCATCAACGAAAAATGCATCATGGTAAAAATTTACGACAAATTTGAATTTTGGTGCCCGTGATGTAGTTTGTTTCTCTAGGTCTGTCCTTATCCACTTCACACTTTTGGAAAGAAAAATATGTAAACAATTTTAATATAAAAAAAGGTTTACATTTAAAATGCATATTTGCATTGAGGTATATGTGGAGTCAAAAAATTTTATCTATGGAGGCAAAGAAGGGAATGTATGAAAGTATAGCAGTATCAACACTCTTATAAGGGTGTGAAGCTTGGGTGGTAAATGCAGCAGCGAGGAGACGGTTGGAGGCAGTGGAGATGTCCTGTCTAAGGGCAATGTGTGGTGTAAATATTATGCAGAAAATTCGGAGTGTGGAAATTAGGAAAAGGTGTGGAGTTAATAAAAGTATTAGTCAGAGGGCAGAAGAGGGGTTGTTGAGGTGGTTTGGTCATTTAGAGAGAATGGATCAAAGTAGAATGACATGGAAAGCATGTAAATCTATAGGGGAAGGAAGGCGAGGTAGGGGTCATCCTCGAAAGGGTTGGAGAGAGGGGGTAAAGGAGGTTTTGTGGGCAAGGGGCTTGGACTTCCAGCAAGCGTGCGTGAGCGTGTTAGATAGGAGTGAATGGAGACGAATGGCACATGGGGCCTGACGATCTGTTGGAGTGTGAGCAGGGTAATCTTTAGTGAAGGGATTCAGGGAAACCGGTTATTTTCATATAGTCGGACTTGAGTCCTGGAAATGGGAAGTACAATGCCTGCACTTTAAAGGAGGGGTTTGGGATATTGGCAGTTTGGAGGGATATGTTGTGTATCTTTATACGTATATGCTTCTAAACTGTTGTATTCTGAGCACCTCTGCAAAAACAGTGATTATGTGTGAGTGTGGTGAAAGTGTTGAATGATGATGAAAGCATTTTCTTTTTGGGGATTTTCTTTCTTTTTTGGGTCACCCTGCCTCGGTGGGAGACGGCCAACTTGTTGAAAAAAAAAAAAATTGACAAAGTAACACAAGATAATACAAATTTTATCTCTTTGCAAAGGTTAGAATGTGTGATTTACATGTTGTAAAGTGTTAAGTACAAAGAAAGCCACTAACATGCCTGAGCATTTCGGGCAGACTCGTCAGCGCTTCCAGATTACAGTCTCTCCTCACTTAGTGACATACTTGTTTACCGACCACTCGGACTTACGACCAGCTCTCCAACCAGTATGCAAATCTACGTATATTAGGGCTGATTTCCTCTATTCTGTTTATTACAGTAGTATACAGTACACTACTGTACAAACATTTAAAAATATACTAGAAACGTTATAAATAGTGCAAAGGTGACATAAAAAATATCTAAAGATGGTTGACAAACCCACTTGCAGTATGGTATGCTTCTCACTTAACGACCAGTTTGCTTACCGACCTGCTCTTAGGAATGGAACTCCATCATTGAGTGAGGAGAGGCTGCACTTAAAACTAGACAGACGTTATAGAGTAGTAAATTTTTATTCATTATAATATTTTGGCTAGCTCTCTATTGTAAAATTATAGTAGTGGTAAAAAAAATTATTGCAATTAGTACAATTTACAATGTTAAAACTGTAAAATTTTAAGTGTATATTAATATTTTATGTAGATCTAGCTGTCCTAAGTTTTTTGGGGATTTCTTGAATAGTTTCAAAATGGTTGAATGATTTAGTATGTGTTGGTATAGTTTAAGTTTGGGAGATGAGATGTTTTTTAATTATAGTCCTTAATTGATTAGCAGGCAGTGAACCTTTTGCTGGTTCAGTCAATGAATTCCAGATCTTAAGGACCCTTATGTGCATTGCACTTTTGCATAGGGAGAGTTGGACACGAGGGATGAGAGTTTTGTGCCTTGTGTTGTACCCGTGTGCTCTGTTGTAGCTATCAAGGGGCCACCCTATCAAGACTGGGTGGCCCGAAAAGGAAAAACTTTCACCGTCGTGTGTAATTATAAAACTGCAACATTAACACCCCTCCTTCAGAGTACAGGCACTGTACTTCCCATCTCCAGGAATCAAGTCTGGCCTGACAGTTCCCTGAATTCCTTCATAAATATTACCCTGCTCACAGTCCAACAGCCGGTCAAATCCTAGAAACCATTTGTCTCCATTTGCTATCTAACACGCTCACGCATGCTTGTTGCACACCAAACCTCCTTTACCCCTTCCCTCCAACCTTTTCTAGGCTGACCCCTACCCCGTCTTCCCTCCACTACAGATCTGTATACTCTCGAAGCCATTCTATTTCGTTCCATCCTCTCTACATGTTCAAACCACCTTAATAACCCCCTCGTCAGCCCTCTGGATAATAATTTTGGTAATCCCACAACTCCTTCTAATCTCCTTCTAATCTCACCTTCAAGGACCATAACATTGTATCAATCGCATCTGCTAGAAAAATGACAGGATGGATAATGAGAACCTTCAAAACTAGGGAGGCCAAGCCCATGATGACACTCTTCAGGTCACTTGTTCTATCTAGGCTGGAATATTGCTGCACACTAACAGCACCTTTCAAGGCAGGTGAAATTGCTGACCTAGAAAATGTACAGAGAACCTTCACGGCGTGCATAACGGAGATAAAACACCTCAATTACTGGGAGCGCTTGAGGTTCCTGAACCTGTATTCCCTGGAATGCAGGCGGGAGAGATACATAATTATATACACCTGGAAAATCCTCGAGGGACTAGTACCGAACTTGCACACGAAAATCACTCACTACGAAAGCAAAAGACTTGGCAGACGATGCAACATCCCCCCAATGAAAAGCAGGGGTGTCACTAGCACGTTAAGAGACCATACAATAAGTGTCAGGGGCCCGAGACTGTTCAACTGCCTCCCAGCATACATAAGGGGGATTACCAACAGACCCCTGGCAGTCTTCAAGCTGGCACTGGACAAGCACCTAAAGTCAGTTCCTGACCAGCCGGGCTGTGGCTCGTACGTTGGTTTGCGTGCAGCCAGCAGCAACAGCCTGGTTGATCAGGCTCTGATCCACCAGGAGGCCTGGTCACAGACCGGGCCGCGGGGGCGTTGACCCCCGGAACTCTCTCCAGGTAAACTCCAGGTAAACAGAGATTAGGAGGGAGTTGGTGATAATCTTCACATCAGCTTTGTGTTGGGCTAGATCCAAGCACAAATTCCATAGGTGAGGTAAGTATAGATTACAAAGTGGTTTAGTTTAATTAGTGCTGTTTGGGGTACATGGTACTGTATATTGAAAAAGGATGCTTACTCTTTTGGAGATCTTTCTGGCTATATGTTGGATGTGGATCTGAAATTTAAAAGGGTGCAGTCAAGGTGAAGACCTAAAAATTTGCCCTCAGTGTCTTGCTATGGGCAACCACTGATCAATGTTTTAAGTTGGATATTTAAAGCTGTTTCCAGACAAGATGTAGTAGGTTTTGTCTATATTAAGAGTGAGCTTGTTGGTCGTCACCCACGTAGATATTTTAGTATCTAACCAGTTTCCCTAAATTCCTTCTGATATGTTGCCTTGCTCACACTCCAACAGCCCATCAACCCATGAAACTGCTTTGTCTCCTCTCCAGTTTAACATGTACTAGTCTGTCTGATGTTCAAGCCCCTTGTAAAACAAATATCCTTTACCCTCTCTCTCGAATCTTCCCTGGGATGTCCCCTACTCCTCCCTTCCAACCCAGATTTGTACATCTTCATTATCCTATTCTGCTTCATCCTCTAAATGTGTATACTCTGACACTAGTATACACATTGATAAATATAACCACAGTGACACAGTCATATCAAAGCACTACTTTTACCCCCTTTCCCTAATTCCTAAATACCGTAACCTAAGCCTCTCTGCTTAAAAACTCTTTAC